GAAGCTAAGAGAAATAAAGATAATGAGAAAGATTCGTGTGATAAAAGTAAATCTACTGCAGATTATTTATCGAGACTTGCCAACGAAGATAGCATTGCTAATTTGACACTTGCACATAAACGAACACTCGAAGAGATTCATAATGAGCCTGAAAATTTAGCTTTACAACCATCTGCTAAAAAAGGTAAAGAAAATCCGAATTCAGAAATACTTACAAATGTAGACAAACAATCTGATCACTCTACACATACTGGAGAAATGGATCTCGAAGACTTAATCGCTCCATCAACCGTCATTAAAACTGGAATGAAAGCAAGCGATTTTGAAATGAATAAGCCGGGCGATTCCTCGTCGCAATTAATGTCATTGAACATAGACAAGGATGACAAACAATTTAAGCACGGCAATGTAGGCATTGATGAAAGCGGCGTTCACGGCAGTGACGATAATTCATTGATTCTTGATTGCACAAATAATGTTACTGACACTGACAAAAAATTAGATGTAGGACATGATGAAAACAATTCCGAACTGCCTTCTAATGATAACACAAAAAAAGGAAACAGAAAAAAAGGTCGGAAATCTTCCGAAGAAAATGTAACGGCAGGACCACGTCGTGAGTTGCGTTCTAGTGCTGGGCGTCTATCAACAGACGGAACTTGTCATTGACTGAATATTTAATTCATGGTTACATTCAGGGGTTTCCCAGAAACACCCGGATTCATAATCTGAAATAAGGCCTAAATATTTTGTTAATCTAAATGAATATTTTACTTCCGTTACACTTAATAGTATTATTTTGCATTGATAATTTACAAATGTAACAAAACCGGGAGATTTAAAAACAAAAAACGGTAACAACAAGAGTTTACGTTTATCTTTATGATTATTTTTTAATAATTCTTGTAATTGATGACTATGTGACACATAACACGTCACATTTAAACTAAACTCGTGCTACGAGTAGGCTTTACTAATTTTACATTTTACGAAATCGTGGCAGTTTTGATTTTTATCAAATGAAATATGAAATCTGATGTCTTTGTTAATAAAAATTTGAGAAATGTATATTCAATACATATTAAAATGATTATGAACTTACTGCGGAATGATGGCAATCATATGAATCTTACAATTTATTAATAACTTGAATTTTAAATGTTGATTTTACAGGACCCATGTAAGATTTACAATAAATTTATTTTTCCTAAATGGATCGTTATAAGACTTAGCATAGCTATTTTAAGAGGTTACTGATAATCTAAACCATTTTGTTATTAAAAACCCTATTATTATATTATTGTTAGAAGACTGGATACTCCACATGCATTTTGAGTCTATGAATTTCATTATTCTATTAGTTTTATTAGTATCAATAACATAACCTCCTTCTTTTTGAAGTGATCTAAAATATCTTCAATTTCTATAACCAAACCATATTATTTTCTATGTCACGGGCACTCCAGTTTAAATCTTTTCGTTACTACTTTGAAATCTATGGCTGGGTCGGAGGGATAAGTAATATCTCGATGCTTCCCATGGCCGTATGGAATGGAATATAATCATACCGGAGTTTATCTAGACCTCTTGTATGTTCTTACATTTAGATTTAAGCTTTATATTAAGAAACACTTGGCGATGCAATTAAAAAAATAATTCAATTGTAGCAACATTAAAATTCAGTGTATTTTCGTAGTTTATTTTTCTCTTGAGGTTTTCTGTTTAGAAATAAGTGGTGAGAATCATGTGTAACGCTGAATGTGATAAAATTATTTATTACATGTATTCTTATTTTGCATTGCATTGCTGTATTAATGAATATTGTATTGTAGATAATAATTAATGTGACAAATCATGAATAAATATTAAAAAAAAAATCGAATGTTATTTTAACACCAACATTTCAGTTTTCATAAAAAAGTAATATACAAAAACTTGACTTGACCTCGCAAACGGGGCAATATTTCGGCTTTCATGAGATATTTTTGTCCGTCTTTTTTGGTTGTTTTTTTTTGTATAAATAAACGCCATGCTATAACCAAATGTGGGCAGTAACGAAGGGCCGTAACGTTAATCCGTTAACTTTTAAGTGGACTTCAAAAAATATTAACACCTTTATTAGGCTTGCGCATCAAATTTTTGAAATGTTTAATTCTATAAAGCGTAATAATTTACATAAAAAATTGTGTATTTTATGTTTTCAAAAATCAATTTCAGTCATAAGCAAATACCTGTCATGCCTTTCAGCACATGGCACCCTCAATGACGTCACGCTTTGTATATAAGATTCGTATCTAAGTTGTTATGAAACTGATTATTTTTTGACTGTGATGTATACGTAAATATAGCATACAGATGGACTGTGGGTGAGTGGTTGCATATTATGCAGGGGCTGTCTTGTCAGGATTTCTCTTTCATTTTCGATGTCTATGTAGGTAATACATATTTTATTACAAAATCTTAAGTTAAAACTAACTGCGATAGAACTGGCATTTTTATCAGCCTATTAGTTAGATAATCCTGTCGCGCTATAATACCGTCAAACGTAAAGATTTTATATACTCTTTGGTAAAAGATTTTAAAAAAGAAATTATACACAAAGCAACATTTACTCGTGTTCAAAGAGTATAATAAGTATGCTCGTGTTGCTGCTGTGCCCCTCCCACATTGGTTAAAAAAAATTCAAATATGAAGCTGTCAAGATGACAAATGACATTGTTGCTATAACTTAAAGTTCAGCCATAAGTTTGGCCCGAAGCAATTCAAAAATACTTTTATTACTTCAACTTTCGAAGCTCATCTATTTCGAGGTAATCGTTATGTTGCAGAGACGAGCTTCATTGTTACTATTCCAACATTTTAATCGGAGTAGAATTCCAGCAATTGGTAGTCGTTGCATAACCAATACGACAGATGATGTTTGCACCCATACAGGACAAGTATGAATTTTGTTGTTTAAGTTTACATACCTTATTTTTATAAATGTTATTTTCACTTCAATTTACACAAGATGCCTATATGGAAGTTGCATAGGATGGAGTGTAATTTTTTGAATAATATATTCCACCACCATATAAAACACTCGTTTTCTATTACACATTTTATCACAAATATCATGAGCTACGGAATGGGCAAGACACTGGCTTTATCGCTGAAGTATTAGAGTTAATTATCTTCTGTTAGATATACAGAAGATAGGCGTGAAGCAAAATTTATGCTGTTTCGTGTGCAAAGTACAGAGCCTGGGGCTCAACTTAAGTCCTTGCCCTTTGTTCGCTTTTTAATAAATAAATGATGAGAAATGGAAGTTAACTTGGCAGAGGAGAAGAGTGTGTTGGCTAAATACTAATTCTGTATATTTTCTCTAGCTTTTATTAGTAGCCAATGCTACTGCAATCTGTTAATTTAATGCAAATCTTTATAGGCAGTAATCACTGACTATTATATTAAGTGGTTGCTTGCTTGTTTGACAGCTTAAACTGTAAACCTAATATTGCACTGATTAAATAATATTCTGGTATAACTAGATTGTTATATTTAATCTCTTGTATTTTCAGAAATGGGATTCTGATGATTACAGGCTTGCTAGATTCATGAATGCCCCAAAACATGTCAATCAAAATTGGGCAGTAAAATTAATTGCAGAAGTGCCACCTAAAGAAGTAACTGAAAGAGTTATTTGGTGTGATGGAGGAAGTGGGCCAGAGGGTCATCCAAGAGTCTACATTAACTTGGTAATTTTTGTTTTACTTATGAAGTGTAAAACCCACTATGAACATGCCCATAAGTGTTTTGACAAGTTTGATGTTGTTTTAGAAATGTTTACATGTAAACAGCTGTTGCTATAGTATCACTTCTAGTTTATACTTTTGTTGCAATTTTTGATGGCTTGATTTATGTGCATAAATATTTTCAGCTATAAAACATAGGAGTGTCGGTGGCTCAGTGGTCAAGCACTTGACTTGCAATCTGCAGGTCCTGTGTTCGAATCCCACCATGTACCAATGTGTTTTTCGATTTCCGATTTACATATGTACATTTATCCGACGTTCTTACGGTGAAGGAAAACATCGTGATGCAACCTGCACATATCTGAGAAGTTGACTATGGCCTAATCACCCTTAACTTAGGGTAGGCTCAGAGCCCCTCGGTGGGGACGTATAGTGAGCTGATGATGATGATAAAACATACAAGCTAACCAAATTATTTGCAATCCCACAGGTGGAATAATATCAAAAGCCTAAATGTGGCATAATTGTGAAAGACAAACGAAAAAATATTTTTATTTTTAGATACTTTACAGCACAAACTAGGGATGCACAATCCGATCTAATACTTCGGTCAATTGATACATTAAATTTTTGTTCTAATACAATATCATTACTGTCTTTGGTGGATTGACTAATGTATGCAGTGGATCTAATAAAAAAATTGAGTTACAAATATTATGTGCAAAGTTTATAGGCCTCTTTTGAGACCAAAATATTGATAAGAACTACATAGTAAGATCATAATGAAAATTTATTTTAGATAACTTGTTATGTAAATACTTGATTATTGCTTTATGGGCCTTAAAATTGAAAGAATGACGATAAAAAAAAATCATATCCCATCAAGTGGATTGATACAATGTTATTATACAATTTATTGCAATTCGAAAAATCAATACAAAAATATCCAGGTGGTATTGTGCATTCATAGCACTAAACATTGCGGAATACATACTACCTAAGTTTCATCACATTATTTCCAGTGATAAACCTATGATTTTCCACTGCCAAAACACATGTATGAAACTGTTTGTTTTCAGTTTTTTTTAAGAGGAAAAATAATCTAATCTTGTTTTACTTTTTAGGATAAACCTGGTGATCACTCATGTGGCTATTGTGGTCTTCGGTTCATAAAAAAAGAAAGTCATTAACCCATTGGAAGAAAATCTTAATTTGCTGTTATACATTAATAGAAATATTAAAATGTAGGGTTTGAAATAAAAGATTAAATAACTGATCAACATTTTATTTAAAAATTCTCAAATACATAAACATTTGTGTAATGTCTGTTTTGTTTGTGTTTAGATTAAATTTAAGTTGTAGTTATAATAAATTAATCACAAGATATATAAGCTTTTAATTTTTACATTTTAAAACTCTTAATATCCATGTAAGTATTATAAATAAGAATTAACAAACCTAATTGAAAAGGTGACAAATTTAACAAATTATTAAATGGACGGGTGACTAAAAAACATAAGAAACAGCCTAGTCTCAGATGAAAATATGGAGGATAGAATGTAATGGAAGAGACTAGCAAGGGAAGTCGACACCACCACCATAGTATGAAGTAGCAAAGTGAAGCTAGTAGAGCTAGGGAGTAAGAGTTTAATATTTTTTATTTATAAATTAATTCTCATTTGTTGAATTTGCATCCTTTAATTGTTGGCGTATATCAATATTGGATTGTAAAAGTTCTTTAAGCTTCTTATGTATATCATCATTCTTCTGCTCTAAAAAATCCAGTGCTGAATTTAATTCATCAAGTTTAGAATCCAAAAACTCATATTCTGAAAAAAAATTGATGAAAATATTTTGATAACTTTTAAAAATAATTAACAAACAATTTGCATGCTGATTGGTGGCAACTTATTACTGCAAAGAGGTGCCTATTTTGATTTCCTATCACCGACTGTTTGCAGATTGCATTTAAGTGGTTCTATCTAGCCAAGATGGGTAAGTAACTTGACTAAAATTGATTTGCTCACAGTTTGCAAGTGTGAGGCAGATCAGTGAACTGGCTACAGTTCATCTCAATTTGTACCTGAATAGAATTATGACTTGCTATGAGGCGCAATCAGATGTAGTTTTTTTTTTCTTTTTATAAGAGAAGGGGGTAAACGAGTGGCAGGAACACCAACGTGATCAACGACAAAAGTTGAGTAAAGAGCGAGATTTCTCGAAGTTGCAAGTCGTCAGCTGGGTTTTAGGTTGACATGGTTATAGAAGATTGCACTGAGCCATGAACTGTCAAGTCTATACTTGAACTTTTGAGCCGGTTCAGATCTAATTTAGACAATTCTAGTTTTATCAAATCTATAGAGCTACCTCCAACCCTTCTGTTATTCCTTGAACCCAACGTATTTATTAGCATTTCAATATTGCATTAGTCTAACAAAATATGTCTTAAACTCTCTTCTCCACAGCCTAATCCTAGCTAGGAATATTAAGAAATAAATAAAAGCTTTTAAAATGCAAATTAATAATCACCTTCACGAATATTTTCATTGTTTTCAATGTTTGCACTTCCATCAATTCCAGTTTCGTTATTTTCAGGCTTATTATCATCGTTTCCAGCCATTTTTACCCTGCAATAATTTGAAATTATTATGTGTAGCAATTAAAAATTCCTCTGAAATCACAAATTTATTTACACATACTCTTTAAACAGTCTAATGTAATCAGTTTTACTGTCTTTTGGGATTCAGAACTTATTTATTGATGATAGATTCTCTACCTGTCAGCTGTCAGTGCTGTACTGTGACTGACTGTGACTGCCTGTGAGTGTTACCAAACGCAAAACTTAAAGTAGAGGAAACTAATCATCTAATTAGTTTCGTTGAAAATTGTTGCAATTGTTTTCTAAGACTGACGATAAGCATACGGAGTTGTGTGGTCGATTTATCCTGGTACTCTCTCTCTTTCAAAAAAGAAAAAGAAATTGTCCATCAAGTATCCTAAAAGGCGAGGAGTAGCCTAATTGGCGATAAATTGGCCTTTGTTGGTAACACTGTGCTAAAGTGAATATCACGAGACGGTGGTGTCTATTCATGGGACAGGTTAAACACCATAGTATTTTGTTCTTATTTGATTTTAGCCATATTCACACTGATGTCAGCGATTGTCATCGGTGGGGAGGATTTGAACTAATGCCCCGTTTCTATTAAGCTAGCTCAGCTAATCGGGCTGGCCTAATGGAAAACGGTATATCAGAAAGCTTTCAATTTCAATTTACAAGAATTTATCTAAGAAATATATATACACATTTATAATTTCTTAAACTGTGCCGCTCTTGCCCCACCATTAGGCAAATTATGACGCTGTCAAGATGACTTTGTTAGTTAACATATTTTCCGACTGCAACAAGATCCCTGTCAAACTATACCTGGAACTGCCTGGAACTATTGTATGGAACCGACAATCGACGTATACCGACCGCACATTTTGACTTTGACATTTCTGTTTTGTAATTTATTATTATCTGTGAATGAATCTATTACGTGGTGAAAACCAATATTTAGATTAGATCTGTTCATATCTTTAAAGTATAAATTCATTATATTGTTAAGTTGTTACGACCCATCAAATAAAATTATTTAGTTATTTTGTATTTAAATACGGTGATTAACTTATATTTAGCAGAATTTTAAAATGTAAGATCGATTTCTTACTTAGTAGTTAGAATATAGTGGTTTTAAATTTGTTTCTAGTAGTACTAATATCAATTATTTACTATCAACTTTAATAACAATATTACGACCATGTAATTTGTTTGGAAAGCATTGTATATTGAATATCTATAGTCGGGTGTTCGATATTTTGAACTGTGACTCACTTTGTACATGTTGAAGTAGTAAAGTTGGATTTTATATTCCTTTGTTTTGTAACAAATTTTTAACACTTTAACATTTCAGCAAAATGACATCGGGGCCGTACAATTACTCATACATTTTTAAATATATCATTATTGGTGACATGGGAGTTGGAAAATCATGTTTATTACATCAATTCACAGAAAAAAAATGTAAGTGTTAATGGCCTTTATAAAGATATGAAAGTCTCACGTATTTCATACAAATGGAAAGCTTGATTAGACATAAATGACTAAAAGTAAACAGTTTTGCATGCTTTTTGTACTACACAAAGTATTTTATTTATATTCATTCTTGATTCCACTAAGGACTTATATCACATAGTTCATGCATTAGTATAAATATGTATGATCTTGGTCACAGTTTGTAGTTGATAACCATGGTTTGCGGTTTGTATGTCATCAAATTAATTATTTATTTATTCACAGTTATGGCAGACTGTCCCCATACAATTGGTGTGGAATTTGGCACTAGAATCATTGAAGTCGCTGGTCAAAAAATTAAGCTTCAAATTTGGGACACGGCGGGACAGGAAAGGTTCAGAGCAGTGACACGTTCTTACTACAGAGGTGCTGCTGGTGCGCTAATGGTTTATGACATTACAAGAAGGTAACATATAATAATTTTGATTTTATACTTAACATTTATTATATTTTCATGTGTTAAATAATTATAACTATCTCAAATATTGAATTACAAAAAGGTTCAAATATAGTAGGGGCAAAGTAAAAACATTACATTTACAGTAGATCTGCAGTAATCTTACCATTTGCAGGGCAGTACTGATCTATCAAATTTGTTTAACTATAGAGTACAGTCAGTAACCCCCTATAGTCTAAACTGTTTTACAAACGAGTACCTTGTAAATCTGAATTCTTGAATGTAGATTCTATATGTAATATTCAGAAGTAAAAACTAAAATTAACACAATTAATGATATGAAACTTACAAAAAATAATAACTTTCCATGAGGAAATAATTGTGTACTAACAACTGAATGTACATATGTATTAAATAATCAAAAACTATATATCAAATAAAAATTATCAATCAATTGTTGAACCATGAAAATGTACATATGATTTCAAGGGGCATTGGATTTTGGAGAGTCCACTGTATTAATCTTTTTTATTTTTATTAGATCTACATACAACCATTTAAGTAGTTGGCTCACAGACACACGTAACTTGACAAACCCAAGCACTGTGATATTCTTAATTGGAAATAAGTCTGATCTAGATGGTCAAAGAGATGTTACATATGAAGAAGCCAAACAGTTTGCAGATGAAAATGGTCTTATGTTTGTTGAAGCCAGTGCTAAAACGTAAGTATTCATAAAGTACCTTTTTTCTTTCATGTTTATTTATTAAATTTAAAAGGTTCATTAATACTAATAAAAATTACATAGTAATGAAATTCCATAGCTCAAACAAATTATTTTACCATTTTGTTTAAAAAAATTAAAAACGAGAAAAACAATTACGAGTAATTTTTAGTCCTAAGATGAAATATTCTTTCTTAGATTGGCTGACTGCCAAAATATTGGATAAGGTTATAATGGCGTATGATGGACAGACATGAATATGAATCTACCAGTGGTACAAAAACATGCAGTAAAATCACAATGAGTACTGTAAACAATTTTTGAATGATGCTTTAGTTTAAAAATTACTAGCGGGTCGCTAGCGACTCTGTCAGCGCGGAATTTAAAAATACTTAGTGAATAGCCAGTGTTCTTTCAAAATATTTTCTACATCTGTGCCAAATTTCAGCAAGATACATGCACCCGTTCTGCAGATACCTTTTAACAAGCATCTATCCATCCGTCTAAATATTTTCATTTATAATATTAGTAAGATGTAAGATTATCTTGCTGTAAATTCCTTTGCTATCATTTTATAAAATCCGATCCTTGTTCCAAACAAAAATAAAATTTTAGTTAATATTTAAGCTAGGGTACATAAGGAACCTGCCATAATGAAATATCAATGGCTCCTATGTTCTAAGACTAACTTGACAGGAAACCAGTTTTAAGGTACGAGAACTGCATTTAATGTCATATCATGTACACTACTTTTACAATCTTTGTGAAAATTTGCAATAAGCATTAAAATGCCATGTTGCTTAGTTTGAATTCATTATTTTGTGTACATGTTTTAAACGCGCGATCGCAGTTATTAGGCTACTATTCATAAATAGTGAGTTTTACATATTATTACTTAGTATTGCTTTTCTGGCATGTTTACCACATTATTTCTCACGTCCCTTTCACCTAAATAATGTACAAAAAATATGTTTTTTTCTGGAACTAAACATCAGTGTGCAATATTCTGCAAGAAGCTTGAAGCTCAGGCCTGATGGGTAACCAGTAACTTTAGAATATTGCTTGATTTATTGGCCAAATGAAGGAAATTACCTTAGTTTTTAAAGCTATTATCAATGTAAAACAATGTGTGAAGAAAACTAAAGAAATTTGCTGCTAAAAGATGTTAGCTTCAAAAACGAAGTTTGACGGAAGTGTAATAAGTATATAACTGCTAGTTAATGTTTACAAAAATTACAACTGGGACCAGAGGGTGCCTCCTTCACCTTGACGGACTTTCGCAACATTTATGTACTACTTTTAAATTGCAGAGGTCAAAATGTAGAAGAAGCATTTTTGGAGACAGCAAAGAAAATTTATCAGAGCATTCAGGACGGGCGGCTGGATTTGAACGCGGCGGAGTCCGGCGTGCAGCACAAGCCCGCGGCGCCCGGCCGCCCGCTCGCCGCGCCACCTGCGAACCGCGACAACTGCGCCTGCTAACCTCACCTCACCTCACGACACCTCACACCACCTCACACCACCACACTCTACTACACACCATTACATATTCTTATACTTAAATGTTCTTACTATTCTCCATCACTTTATTTTTGACATGTTATTCATATGTAAAGTTTTTACTAAAATTGGTATTATATTAAAAAAAATAAAGAGTAGGTAATAAATACATAAAGATATGCCTAAGTATAGAATACTTCAACAATCAAAAATCTCAAACTTAATTCTACTCTTTCTGTATTGTACATTCCACTTAAATATATTTAATGATTCGAAATATTTTTCCTTTATAAAAAACGCGTGCATTTGTCAATGTGCATGGATTAAACTCGCAAGAAATAACAAAATCTTAACGATTCTTTTTATACTAGCTGTTGGCCGTGTCTTCGACCGCGTCGTATTTAATATTTCTTCTTTTCGCAAAATCTAAAAAATTGCAGATGTCGCAACAAATCCATTGCACCAATAAGTTTGCCCGTTTCTGCAATCGGTCAGTGAGCCCGCGCGACCACAGGCGACTTGTGAGTGTTGTGTGAAACCGTTATATCAGTTCTAAAACTAGGTTCTAAATCCTGCATACATTAGCTATTTACCATTAAAAGTCCTGTCAAAGTCGCTTCATGTCGTCTATTATGCAGAAAAAACGCGGATTTAAACATATTAAAATTAAATATGGAAATTATTTTTCCTTTTCGTCACTTAACTTTGGTTTCTGAAACATTTTTTGTTAAAGATAATGAGAGGGATGACGATATGTTTTATACAAGTATTTTGGTCTCATAAACCAACAATCGATAGTATATTCCGACGTAGCGTTTCTTCGCGCACAATAATAGTACACTTATAACTTGCAACTCCATAGATGATTCCCCTCTTACCTTACAACCATTTAATTCTACATGTCCGCACATATAATTGCTTCCACTCCAAACAATTAACCATATGCAAACTGTACTTTGCGTCAAAAACCGAAACATCCAATATTTTTGGTAAAATTTTGGTTTCTCGCATGACTGTAGCATTAGCTATTGTTACCCTTAATATAAAATTACTTAATTTTATCTTACAATTTTCACAAAATAAATATGTCGTAATGGTCGTCGTGTATGGAATTCAGCGTTTCCCGTTTACTTTATTTCGGTTTGGGATCGAAACGAAGAATATACTATGTGTCTACAAACACTTTTATTCAGACTCATGTTGGCAGTTTTTTTAAAGCGTTTTATTCGCTGGTTGTTTATTTTTTCGTGTTGAATATTAGGTATATGTAACTTTTAAATTGTTATTTTTTATTTAATTCATGTGAGTTTAATACGTACGTATTGACTATTGGTAAATTAAAAAAAATCCTTCATTAATATCAATACAATTTATTGAACTCATACTTCTAATTATATTTTTATGTCCGTAATATCACGAATATTTTTTTAATAAATGTAATGCGTTACATTTAAAATTAATTATTCTAAAAAAGTGGTTTAGCATATAGCACCTGCTTTTTGATGTTATTACTTTCAATTATTTCATAATTTTAAAGAAATTAAGGTTAACAAAGAAACAGGTATTTTAAGATTTTAGATAATACAATATAGGATTAACGTGCTCCTTCTTAATGTACTGTTACAATCGTTGTATTACTACATTTAGTTAAAAGGTTCGAACGCACTTATATTTTGTTGGGTTATCATTAGATCTCTTGTATTATGCCGCAATTACGTCAAAACTTTTTAATATGAAGTATAAACGCATCGTTTGCGTTAATTACGGCGAGATATAGGTAAATCTGGCTTTCCTCTCGTACAGCTATAAGTTGGGAGCAAAAAAATTATTTTTATAGTAACATCGAGCAGTTTCTAAATCAATCTTATATTAGGCCGTGAAAGTAATCGTAGTAATTAAAGAGTTAAGATATAAATAAAATTAGCGTTAGAATGAAGCTGCATGATGTTCTGTAAAACCTATTCCGTAGAAAATTAAAATTGATGTAAAATTATTGAATACCAAAGTCGTTCGTCCCGTTCAATAGTTACACTAGTTAAGTATCGGGCTCGGTTTGTGTCGGGTGGACATTAGTTAAAATGCATATACATATAATATTAAATATCATTATTTGTCTGATGCTAACTTATTCATTTTGATTTGAATTTATTTATTAATCGTATATTGGCGTTATATGAGAAAATATATAAATAAACAATGACTTATCGTTATTTTGAATTTATTTATTACATTTAGACCCTTTAACTGTTTATAGTGCCATAAACTTGGCTCCATCAGCAAAACTAAAGTAGCCTCCTGTTATAAAATGATGTTCTAATCTAATATTGAAAGTTGTGGTTTCAGAAAATTGTGTTGCCATTTTTCTATGTCAAATGACTGTTGATATTTTCAGGTGAAACAATTAGTGAAAGTTGCGTTGAAATATGTAACATTTCAATTATGATTCTGCCTACATTATCTGAAGGGCAGGGATAAAGGTTTGGAAAAAGAAGACAAAACATTTAAATCATAAAAATATAATTACCAATCAACAATCTTTTTTAGTCGCATAAAATATCAATAATTGTGTTCAGCTGACCAGTATAAACAATGGATATTTATAAATTCGATTTATTATTTCTTACATAAATTATGAATATATTGCAATAAAAAATTGTATATATACACTATATATACAATAACAAGTACCGACTTCCTATTTCGTAGTCAATAAACGAAATTAAAAGTATCTGACCATAAAATTCCATTATTGAAATTCTTGAATTCAATTCCTGGCGATATTAAGTGTCCTTTTCATCACGACTTGACATTAAAATTTGTAGTGCGAAGTCGAACGAGACATACATATAACACATTGATTTAAAAAATACCCTGAAATATCCATATCACATTAAGAATGTTACAAAAAAAAATCATATTTATTTACAATTTAATCATAAATAAGTAGAGTTCCGTCAATGCTACCGTTCTCATGGTCAAAACAATTATCACATTTTACCAATATTGTAAGTTATAGTCAGGAAAATGTTATTCATCAGAAAACTACCTTACAGCTGTTTAACAATTTATATTTTATATTGTGGTATGTTTTTATTAATATCTCAGAACTGCGCAATGATGGTCAAAATCATGCTTTGGACCTCTAGGTCTGCAAATGACGAAATCTTCGCTAAATAGGCAATAGTGGCAATAGGAAAGTCGGAAATTTCAAAACGTACGTTTGTTACATTTACATATAACCTTTTGGACAATATGCATGAGCTTTGATGATCTACCATGTATAGAATATCTGGCTGACGATCAATAAGTAAAGTCGGTTAACATACCCCAAGTTTATTCAGCAATGTTTCAAAACTGAAGGATGGTTAGATATTGAAGGGCGCGGTTACAATTTGGACTTGGCAGCTAGCAGCAGTAGGTCATGCATGTCGTGCAGCGAGCGCTCGAGCGCGGCGCGGTAAGGGCCGCAGCCGGTGTCGGGGTGGCGGCGGAAGGCGGACGTGCCGAAGTTGACGTCGTCGTCGCGCGGGTTGTAGCAGGTCGCGTACCCGTCCACCACCAGCGGCCCGTAGCACATGAATCCGTCGCACTTGCACGCCACCTAATAATCATTTCACCTATCAAATTTTGTAAAAGCAACGCAGTACACCTGTGATTTTTGTAGAAAAATAGAAAACTTGTCTCACATCGTATCAAAAATATTTAAACTACAGTACATCTGCAATTGATTAATGTATCGGCATTCTAAGAAAAGTACCTGGCTAGTCGATATCCTCATGTGAGCGCTACGGCGATAACCTTCGTCCGAGTACAGCTTCGGGATCTCGATACCATTTTCAAGAGCTATCAATTTCAGTCCAAGGAGATGCCTGTCAACACCAAATCCTTGCAGAGCCTATGTAAAAAACCACGGTGTTAGAGTATTGTGATTCTGGCCGCTGGTAAACCGTTTAAAGGTGGAAGAGTGCAGACAGACCTGCACAGTGTAGTTCTTATGAGCGTCGATGGCCTGGCGCATGGCGTGCAGCTTGAGGTGCGGCGCGCGGCCGGCGTCCAGCATGGCGCGCGCGAACTCCACCGACTCCGGCGAGCAGGAGCGGATGGTCTCAGTGCGCCCGCCCGTGTACATGCGCGTCGCCGCTGACTCGTAGTGCGCACCGGGCGTCGCGTGCAGTCTGCGTGTTTATACTATGTACACTGACAGTCGGGACGACTACGCTTAGGAATCTTTAAATGGTTGAAATTAATTGAAATGTGAGAAACTACAAGTCTAACTAAACAATTTACACCATTATAAAGCTGTAATCACAGACTAGTTGAACAAAATGGAATAGAATAATAATTTTATGTACACATTTATTTCTTATACGTAAGATTTCACTTACCTGTAAAACGCATATTGCATAGCCATTTGTAGATAGCTGTCGGGGCTAAGTTTTTGTGACTTGATAAAGTTCTTTCCGTATTTATCGAATGTGAAGCAATTTAATTCAAGGTCAGCTACAAGTCTGAAAATAGCACAAAAAGTCTAAAATTCAAATTCTCTAACTAATATAAATGCGAATGTTTAAATGGTATTTACAAAACCACTGCATAGATCTCGCTGAAATTTGACAAAGATGTAAAACATTGTCTGGAACAACACAAAGGCTACTTATCAAGCTTTTTTTTAATTCCGCGCGGACCGAGTCGCGGACAGCAGCTAGCATTTGTAAATAAAGCAACTTCAAGCAAAAACATACTTGTCTACGTTAGTTTTAGCAGTGCTGATCATGTCGACGACATCCGAGCTTACGTTAAAGTTCAGTTTGACAGGGTCCTTGGGGCTCGATGATGATTCAGTACTTGATTTACCCTTATCTCTGAAAAACAAAACATTTACTATTATATAGATATACAAACGTCAATGTGTTTGATGCTATTTTATATTTTCTTTGAAGTTTTCTATATAACTTAGGGAATTAATTAACACAACTATAGTACCTCCATCCTCTAATCTCAAACTATGTGGGGTCTTATCGTTCGTGATTTCGTTCGTCACATCGTTCTCAATCCAATCCATCCCTTCTTGGATATGTTATTATACCCACAGTGCCAATCAATCCAAACTAGTTCAACGGACACATTTTATGAGGCGTAGAAAAAGACATCGTAAAAATTGTAGTGACATGAAACATGTTAATATTATTTTTTTACGCTATGGTCAATATGGTGTCAATGAGACGAGTTACCGAAACTCAGTCTTGGGCAATTAAAACAACACCTGTTAGATTACTGAAATCTAGAATAAACTTACATATAGTTAATAATAAAGTCTGTGAGAACAGCTATGGGTTGTCCTTCGGCCGGAGAGTGCTCGTACGTCAAGCCTGTAACTCCGTCCGCGCCTACTATGAACTGAAAATGTTAACCAATGAAATGATGAAATTATATAATAATTAATAACAATGACCAAAACAATAAAATAATATGTATTGGTTAAAAATATGGAAAACTATATCTTTGTTGATAAGCATACTACCTACTATTTTTGTATTAATTCGTGTATTTAAAACATATGTAGAATATCGATTAAAATTTTAATATTTTTACTTATTTGATAAACTTGAACTGATATAGTTTTTTTTTTATTTTACGACCTGGTAACATAGACTTTTAGGTCATATGTTATTTGGAAAATGTTCATTACATTGGATTTTTTTTTATAAGAGAAGGGGGCAAACAAGCGGCGGGAACACCGAGGAGATCAACGACACCCATGGACATCTGCAACACCAGAGGAACTGCAGATGCGTTGCCTGGTGGATGAAGTGATATAATGATAAATGGCAGACAGATAATAAATATTTACCCATCGTGTGGGTGTTAGTAACTTAGAAGGCTGCATAAACATAAAAATTGGAGAATGTATGATTGGTGTAAGATAATGCTAATGATTATATTTTTGGTGAGTGTGTGTATGGGAATACCTGTACAGTCTTGTCGAACCAGCGGTTGGCGGCGTTGGCTGCGCTGCCTCCACCGTGTATGGTCTGCGCGGCGGCCAACGTCTGGCGCGCGCCCTTGTCCGCAGCGCGCCATAGCCCGCACGCCGCGTCCAGGCACAGCACCGCCAAGCTGCGCTCCACGTCGCCCAGCGACTCTCTGTTCACCTTGTCTGATCCCACCCATCACTTTTAAATATGCGCTTAAACATTACACTAGCGCTGGATCTAAGATTAGATTAGGTTTACATATTCAATAGATGAACTCAGGCTGTATGTTTATAATACGGGTAAAAGTCAAAGGTTAAAGAATTAAATTCGCTTCTTTCTCAATTAGAATCGAATATCCTACAGCAGATTATCATTATTAAAAACTGACAAGAGAATCTAAACGCAATATGTGTGTCAATTGACATTTCACCGTAATTGCCAGGAGAAAACATGGACGACTGTTCATTATGTACCTTTGCTCAGGGCCTGATACGCTTTAGCCCAGTTATCACGATTGTCCGAGGTGAGGACGCCGATAGCTTCAGTAGCCGGACTCTTAGAAAGTTCTATAACTTTCTTTAATGCATGCACGATTTGATCTTCGCTTAGTCTTTTATTATCGTTACCCCAAAGGTCAACATGGAAAATCTGTAAGAAGTCAACAAGTAACTAAGTGTTAAGAATGTAATCGATTTTTTCACCTTTATCAATTTACATAAATAAATATAAATGTTTGTATATTTGTTCCCTATAAGATGTAAGAATTTCATCTTCGTTTTTAATTTAAATGCTTGCTTACACTGTGCATGTTAGTTTTAGTCAATATTAAATTGTCAAAGATATACAAATACATGAGTAAACTGTAATTCCTTCCTTCCACCACATACTTTTTTTTTATTCCCAGACTATCAAGTTTATTATAAGTCCAAATAAATCAAAAATATGTTTTGGATACTCTGTTAGTCATACTCACATGATTGTTATGGATAACTGTAAAATATTTGGTATCATTAAAAGATAATTTATCCCTCTTTTCACACGGGATCCTGCATGTTCCAAAGATTTTCTTGTATTGGGACATATCAAGTGGACTTTTTCCCATCATTTCTACTGGGATTTTGTCTCTAATATCAGAAATAAAAAAATTGACATACAATACAAGATAATAAAGAAAATTAAACAATAAATAATAAAGTCTTTATCATTATAATTGCTTACCCGTCTATCAATGCTTTATACTCCAATGAAGCTAACAATGTTTTTGCTGCATAGTGTAGTTGTTCATCTTGATTGTTGAATTTCCTAAACGGAAACACTAACCCCGGGCTTGAATACACAACAACTGGGTCTCTGTATTCTAAATAAGCAGTGTTTAGCCACCATTCTTCAAGCCAATTTACATGTTTTTCTGCCCGCTTCTCAAGAAGACTCTAAACATTAACCATTATATTTTTTCACATTCTTGCAGTCTTAAATAATGAGAATGATAATAATATCAATATAATTAACAAAACTTAGTAATAACTAAGTACACACCTGTAACTTAATGCCAACTCCTCCTTGAGACCCAAATTCGTTTACCAATTTAGCTGTATTAGCAAATTCTTCATCACTGAGGAATGGTTTAACAGTTTTGAGGTACTTGTTAAGTGTGTCATTAAGTTTTGGAACTGGCAGTCTTGGTAAGCTCTGAACATTTAGATTTGCTTTAGTTGATGCATAGTTGCTGATCAATTGTAATGAGCTTGCATAGGGCTCTAGGAAGAGTCCCCGGTATCCACACTGTAAAAAGTTAAGTGTTGATTTGAAACAAATAATGTTATTACATGGTATAAGACAAAGCTTTTGCATTTACATTGTACTTACTAGTTTAATGCTGCGAATCATATTTGGTTCCTGAAAAAGTTAGAAACACAATTAAATAAGTAGTTTTAATCTCTTCTCTCATTTAGCATTTACCACCATTCACTTGATATTTCAATTAAAAATCCATAAACAGCTGATTGACATTTTACTTTTTAGATCATTTTAATAATTTATTTTTTAGGAAAAAAATAATTTACTTTACAATATCTAATAAAACATAATTTTAAACAGATATTTGTTGACATTTACTGTGTATTTCAAGTAAACCTTATAACAGTAGGGCTGAAGGTTAATCCTCAGAATTGACAAAAATCACCATATGTTTTAGAACTTTTGCTAAATATAATATTTTGCTAGTAAATCCTTGTATTCACATAGCATGGGTCTTTAAAATGACAAACAAATCAGTTTTGTTTAATAAGGAAATACATAATTTAAGGAATCTGAAGCGTACAAGGAAAAATAGACTTGTTAATATAATAATAACAATGATTATGATGTTATTATTGTACAAATTAATAGTGTGCAATATAACAACATTGTGGTAAAAAAGTTATTCAACTATGTTAAATATATATGGCTGCAAAAATTTATAGTGTAAGTGCAGAAACTATAGTGTAATCCTAGAATTGACATTAAAAGTCCAAAAACTGAAGTTAAGTTAGGTAAGATGAAATAAAAATTAAAGAAACAAAGATTATCAAACACATTGTTTCCTAGAAAAAAATGTGTGTATAAATGCAAACCCAAATTCTACTATAACTTTGATGAAAAAACATATGGTACATAATATTATTAGAACTTTAACAGATAGAACCAGTCAACAGGTACAAATTGCAAGATAAGATATGCAATAAAATCTCCAATGAATTACATTTATGCACATACATTGCAAAACCTAACAATATATAAAAACAATATTATTTTTTTTAACTATCAGTCACAAGTTACTTGACTAACTTATTGAATTCTCACTTTTTTTTAAACATGAATCAACACTACTTTTATTATAATAATAGTTTCGAAAATGAATACTCACTTCGTTGTTTCGACTGGACTTCTGCACTCTGCTATTGATAGACATCTATACACGATGTACCGCCAACACTTTTACTATCTATACGATATGAATACAAAGGTTCAAGATACGAAAATGAAAGGTGCCAAGTAGGCAGTTATATATTTCGAGGTGAGAGAAACGATTGCAACAACACACATACATACAAACTGCTTAGCAAAAAACTTGTTCCTTTGGCATTTAGCATTTAATTAATGGGGATGGCAAGTTATTTATATGGAATTAAAGAATTGATTTTAGAAGAACAATTATCAAAGACACGTACCGAAACCTAATGATTTTTCGTGATATATGTTATCTAGAGCAGAACATACCAAATACACCTAATGACGAAGAAGTAGTGAAGACTAAATGATAACAGATATCATTTATCTTTATAATAGAATATTTTAAAAATATTTTTACATCTTGTTTCAAAAGAATGTCTAATCAGGTCTAATCTAAAAAAAATATGTCAACAAAGAAACGTTATATTCGATTTAGATAAAAGTATTTTTTCTGTTATTTTCGAAAATTGATGGGTTAACTCTCGCACTTGTAGACGCTAATGGGCGCTAAGGAGACCTTTAATGATTTTGAACCGTCGAGCGGTACAGAGTCTAGCTGCATCTCCATAATTAAATTGGCAACTCACAGCTCCCCACCATGTAATATAAAATGCAATGCATGGATCTCGGTGAAATTTGGCATAGATGTAAAACTTAGCTTTCTAGAACGCAACATTAGCTATTTGTTAAGTTTTTTAAAATTTTATTTCGCACGGTCGGAGCGCGGGCAACAGCTAGAGTTCGACAATGATCTTGTGGCAGTCGGTTAGAGGCCAATAGGGAGTGGCCGCTGCACGGTTTAATGCTGTCATTTTCATAATTTCGATATTCTATGAAACATAACAACGCAGCTTAAAAATGGGCAGACAAATGCTGAGGCAAAAAAATATTAATATAAAACTGGCACTACTGTTTATAATTTTTAGTAAAGTAATAATAAATTTGCATAGGTTATAAATCGCAACCTTTAAATAAAGGACTACGTATCCTATGCCTGCGCTACATTTATATTACTGGTAGACTGGACTATCCTCGAACATGTTTGAATGGGATCACAAACTGTTTGTTTTTAACACTTTATGGATAGAAGCGGTGTAAGAGGTCACAACACTGACTTCTATTTATTACAAATCAGTGCATTTCATGATTTAGGCATTTATCCAAGATTCTTTGCCATGTGCTTAACATCATAGTGTTTACGGGTTTTAAGTATGTTGTGAAAATAAAAACAAGCGGATTCATTTATTTGATTAAAATATTTTAATTGCAATAGCACAGCACGTTTAAATATTTATGAGATCATAATTAATAATAATGACAGTATAACAACACTAACCAACATTTACAGTACAACGAAAAACCGCGCATCTCTTTACCTTCTGCTAACACCTAAAATTATGTTCTGTGCAAATTCTCGATCGATGTTCCGAGCTGTCCAATTGTTTTGTAATATGCACTCTTTTATGTAAGCATTTCAGAAGCATGTAATATGTGAATGTATAATAAAATATTACCTACTTACAAAAATCATTCACTACATACTAAATACTGACGTTAAATAAAATTAAAATACATATAACTAGGACATAGTTAAGCTTGCACAATGTACAATTAAATGGTAATTAGTGTCAATATATTTGGATATGTGTTATGGATCAATTCATATTGTGACCAAAGCCAAATAATATATTAGTGTGGAGGGCGAAATATAGGCATCGAGCTTTGACAGAAAGCACGAACAATGTCAGTGTGTAAAAGAAAAATGTTTTACGAAGCCCAATAGTCTTGTAACTTTGGACGATGTTTATTACTGCTTTGCAACCGCCAAAAACTTAGCTCTAAGGTGTAAATATATTTGATATTATATTTTTTTTGTTTTTTATAGCTATTCACATTGTCCAGTTTAAATTTCGATTGAACGTAATTTTCCAAGATCGTTGAGATATTGTTTATTTTATTCAAATGTTACTGTTATTGTTTATCAAAGAACCAAACATATGTACAAAAATCAAATCATTTTTTTGAAACTACCAAATTATGACTATTAATTTCAATATTTTGCGATGAGTATTAATATTATCATATTCAATATACGCAGCTACCGAAATACTATAATTAACGAGTAGAAAGCATCATTTTCAAGCGAGTAATTTTAAATCGCTATTGGTGAGCGCACTGCTATCTAAGGGTTTGTCAGATAAGGAATCCAGCGTTGCGTACATTTCATCTGTATGCGCATCTGAAGTATTCCTGTAAATGAAAAAAATATATTGCATAACACTATGTACGCATAACATATTATTTGATATGAAAACAATATGTATAACGAATTATAGTTATAATAAAATATTAGATAAGAGAAGCTGAAATTGATCTAAGCATAAACAAGTAATGAAATGAAATAATGATAATTAATTGTAAATTGAATATGGATAGTTACAAAGGTAGAGGAAGACCAAAGAAATCATGGATGGATTGTGTTGTGGATGGAGTGAATTCAGATGTATTCGCATACTGTGCCGATCCTCCGGTGTGCCAAGGGAAGGTTAATACGAGGTTATAATGATGAGTTGTAACTGACTTGGTAATAATATAGTTTACACACCTGCTGTTCATTCGATTGAAGTCCCCGTCACCAGATAAACTGTCAGAGTCATCATCCAGTGAGTTTTGAGAATCTGAAATGGTGTTTGCAATCAATGTTTGCATAAACTCTAATAAAAAAATAAGATGAATAAGGTAAACGCGAACTCGTTAACTCTTCTTGAACAGTTAAGTAATACGCGTTAGCTTAAAAGCACCGGTTGATAACAGCGAATCTGGAGATTTGTCAAAATTATGGTTTCTTTAGATTAGAGTACGACTCCAAGAGATCGTGCGGGTGCCTGGTCACCTGCAGTGGTGAGACGGTGCGTGGTGAGGTAGTCCGCAGAGAGGTAGGGCGGCAGGTCTTCGGCGGCGTCCGGCGCGCCCGTCCCCGCGCCCGCGCCTTCACCTAGCGTCTCCACTATCGACAGCCACTGCCCGTTGTGGCAGCGGAACCGCTCCACCTGTCGCAACAACAAGCTTATGTAACCTTCCTGTGTAGCCTTCTGACACGACACAAAGGCAATGAACTTTCTGTCAAACAAAAAATTACGATGTGAGACTTATGACATCACACTAAGGCTTGGGTTCATTTATATTAAACGCTTTGTAGTGTGGATGTTGTGTTACGTGACGACCGTACCTTAATTCTCTCCGCCCAATCGTTTTCCATTTGAGAAATAATGTCCAGGCACGCGTCACACATTTTTCGTATTTCGACATTTTTGTCTTGCATCAGGTCAATAAGGTAGGCTGGTGCTTCTAGAATTTAGCCAAAGAATACATTCATATTATTAACTATCAATTTAATTTAAAAGCTTTAACTTAAGCAATCAATATCATGTTCGTAACAAAATAAATAATTTTGAAAAATGTTATCCGCCATTTTTTTTCTACGACCATTTTGGATTTTTCATAATGCTAGTCAAGCATATTCATTTGAGACCCATGTTGGGAGGCAATAATCTCTTGACACAGTATAAATGCTATCCATTATCTGAAATGGTCCTTGTTATATTAGAAAGGCCTTAATTTTTATGCATTAATAAATAAGCTCTATTGCCTTCAATCGAACCAGCGCTTATGACCGTAAGCAAAAATGTAATCGTTTGACTCGTAATTGTGATGCGAGGCGTAAGTACCGGTTTGATTGACGAGGTAGTCAGCGGCGGCAAGATGCGACAGCATCTGGCGGAAGGCGAAGGCGGTCTGCAGCACGTGCTCGTCGTCAGCCTGGCGCAGGCGCAGCAGCTCTACCAGCGCGTGTCCGCCGCGCGCTGCTGCCAATGCACCCGCCGCGCGCTCCTCCGCAGCCAGCGCGCCCGCCGCCACTACGCCCTCCAGTACCAGCTCCGGGTCCCGCTCGTTCTCTGCGCACCCATTGCATACACATAATACGTCTTTGCTTTACTTGAAGCTTGACCAAGAATATAGAAAACCTAGCTTCGATACACCACATGTTTTATATTGTCTTCGAAATTGTACCTGGATCTAGAATCTTCATTATGCACGGTATAAGATTGTATCTTTCAACAACAGCATAAATATCGATATTGTTGCTGAGACACAGAATGTTGCTCAGAGTGCCGAGACACTCGATCACAAACTCCTCGGGCGCCTCCTCGCTTGTCACCGCCCCGGCTATGTCGCCTACAAATTCCTGTCGACAAAAATTATTGCAGCAATTATCAATTATAACCGCAAAACAGTGATAAGACATACTAATATATACGACTTGAATAATTGTGAAAGTGTATTGAGTTTTAACGAATTCCGCTAGGTTATTTTTAATATTTTTGTATACCTTTACACATACCAAGTAATCAAAATTCATTGCAAGAGAAACTAATTATAACTAAGCGATGTAGTGTTATATGTTATGACCATGAACTTACGACAAAGAGAGGCTTGGTTTGTGTGTGATGTGAGAGGTTGCGGACGAGCTTCATAAGCATGGCGTTCCTGTGGCGGAAGGCGCGTGCGAGCAGTTCGCGCAGGCGTCCCTCGGCCGCCATCTGCTGCGCGGCGCGCTCGCACCACGCCAGGTTGACGCACACGGCCAGCAGCACGTCTGTCGTGCCCGCGCCCCCACCGCCCTCCGCCTCCATTCCGCACTCGCTGTTCACGTTCAGCAGCAGCATGTCCGTCAACTGCACAATACAACTCTCCGTCATTCAAAACTAATTGAAACTCGGAAAACATATATTCTGTTGCCTTCCTGTCTTTTTTAATCGAAAAACAGATTAATTTAGTATGTACAAGTGTACAAGTTTAATATGCAACTGTTTGCAATATTTTGGATGTATAGCGTCGACGATGTAGCGGACAACCGCTAGTTATTTTATATTTAACTTACCAATTTAACACAATCAGATTGTGTGAACATCAGCTTCACGCGATCATCCATACTCAAATGATAAAGGATTTTCATTGCCAAGTTTATGTGTTTATCATCGCCTGTAAACATCCAGAATAATTTGAAATGTGTGCAATCAGAATACAAAAACAATCTATTATAACTTAGGATATTTACTTGTGAATTGTATAAACTTTGGTAAAAGGTTAACTTTAATCATTTTGTTCCGTAATTTCGTGTCAAATGTTAAATTAAAGAGAAGTTTCAAAGTAACATTGACCAGGTCAGCATTGGATGAATCCAGTAGAGGAGCCAATTTTTCAATAATCGATTTAGATGTCATCGAATTTTTATTTTCAACAAAAATGGATAGCTTTTGTAGAAATGATACAATGAGAATGAGAAGATCAATATTTGAATGTCTTTCCATTGCACCAATGAGTAATCCAACAATATCTTTTTTATGCATTTTTTCTTCAACTTTAATATTATCAGCAATATTTAACAGCATGTAAAAAGCGACTCTCAAAAGCTGTTCTTGTCGCTTAGACAATGTCTTTAATTTTCGCTTCATCTGCTCTTCATCATTTTTCGAGAGATATTCATCAGAGGCATTGCACAAGTCTTCATGATAACTGGACACCAACTGACGTGTTTTTTGTAAGTTAACATCAGCTACAGCCCAAGTGCCAGATTTAGGGCGGCGCTTAGGTTCTGGTATTCTGCTTTTTGGCAGTTCATTCTATAACATAAATTAACAAATTAGACTTTTACACCTTTTTAGTAAATCAGTTACAAATGACTGCAGCATTTAGTAGTAGTTAAAATATATATATTTTCATTAGATGTTTGTGTGAGCTCATTAGAGCATCCTTGTACTATATCACATTAAGAGTTTGCTTAAAAAAATGATATACTTTTTGAAAAGTATGAAATAATGCATACAAAACAATTTTCCTTGTGTATGTTGTTCACACTATTGGTACAAATTTAATTGACATATGACATTTTTCAAAATAATTAAAAGTTACCTTATCAGGTGTCAGTACTTGTTTCTTGCCTTCAACCCTTTCTTTCCATTGATCATATCTCTTTAGTTCATAATCGATTACATCCATACACAAAGACCCAATTTTGTATTGTATTATAACAGAATGAAATTCAATATATGTAGAGAAACAGAAAAATGTATAAACAATGTTGGTACTTAGTTCAATACTTCTTTTCCACTCTTCTCTCAACACTCTTGAGAGAGCACTCAATAATGCCTCTGAAAAAGATATAATGTAAGATGATTTTATTACAGGATTACTTTTAAAATCAAATTTTTTAAAGATACTTCATACAGATTATTATTATGGTATAGTTACCATTTCTTGCTAACTCAATTAAATTATCAGGATTTCTAGCTAGTTGTAGAATAAGAGCAGATCCTTTGATTTTTTCTGGAATATCATCATACAATAATTCAACATAATCATCAATACAATTTAAGACAGCAACGGGTGCACTCTCCACTGGACTCATACTTATAAATGCTGAAAAGATAAGAGATTTGTATGTGTCAAATTGTAATTAAAATAAATATTAATAAAAAGAAATTTGAACTAGTAATGAGACTGTATGACGCCCAATGTTACATTCATTTTCAAATTTTAAATTTTGCGTGAAGTAAAAGTTTTTAGTATTGTGTAGATGTTTCATTGCGAAATAAAACATCGTCATAGATACAAGGACATATAAAACAATGATGGCTGCAGATTGTGGGTTTTGCTGTCATATACGAAGATCATGATAATTCTTATCTTTTATTTAAAGTATATGATGGTATACGTTTTAAAAGTATAAAGTGGAACATAATACCTCCGAAATATTATTTAGGACAGGTTATTACAGTGATTGATTAATTTTCAGTCTGAATATTATATTCTATACCCTGGATAAATAATTACCTACCTTATGTGTCTAATCACTAATGTGTGTTTAAAGATTTGTAGCAGGTAACTGCATAAATAAATAAAACCTTTACAAATCCAAATCAATATAATAATACAAATAGGTAGTTTTTTTATACTTTTCTTTTTGACGTAACATGACAGTGACAGTCAGAAACTTTTTTTAGTACTTTTATGACCTGGTGACATAGACCTTTAGGTCACGTCTTATTTGGAAATAAAATTTGTTCTACGGTCAGAAACAGTGTCTGGTGACCAAAGAGTACATAAAAGCTGGTTGCATTATTTTGGAATGAATGTGAATTATAAAGAGTTTTACTCATGACTGGATATAAAGAAGTGAATTACATTAAATCTCAGATTCCACCTCTTTGGAATCCACAGGAAAAGCAGGAGAGCTCAAACAGGTACGGCCTATATACTTTACGCATTAAGATTCAAATTCTTCAACAAAAATAAAAATGCTAAAAACACAGTTTCAGTCCCCCTAAGACAGTTGTGGCCCACCGCCAGGGTACAGTAACAGCCCACCATTAAATTTCTCTTACCGTGAATTTCTGAGATCAAAATCCTCTTTTTAAATGTATTGTCATTTCTGTTTTTGTCAAAGATAATGACAGGGATGACGAGATGTTTATACAGAGATTTTGGTCTGAGAAACTCACGGTTAAACATGAAAATTAATTATTATTGCAAAAGCATATGTTTAAACAATTCTTTTTAAAAATTCAATGTATTTTTGAACAAATATTAAGACTTTTATATCTTATAGTACCGATGACAATGAATTCATAGTACATTATACATACAATTTTTCTAGGGGAATTCTTGAATACCTTATACCTATAAATGCGAAAGTTTGGGTGGATTGATATTTGTTAGAAGATATCTTCAGAAGGATGGTTCAACAGATCTCGATGAAATTTGGCACAGATGTAGAACACATAGGCTAGTTACTTGATTTTTTTAATACCGCGCGTTCGGAATCGCGGGTGACAACTAGTCATATTTAAAGGTGAATAGACAGACAACCCAATTTTTATAAAGGAGGATTTTGTTGCAGACAAGTGTTATCGATACATAGATATGTGTTCCAGCCTGTTCATTTATTTCAGATCAGAGAGTATTATCAAATTAAACATTTAAAAGCACTGCAAAAAAGGGAAAATGTAGTGAAGTGGCGCTGAATTCATAGTAATAATTTTTTTAATTTAGTAGGTACCAAAAATATTAAATTATTGTTGATAAAAGACAGTCCTTGAGTGACGTCTGCAATTAGTTGTCAATTCTGTATTCTGTTGTTCTATGGCTTTAGATTGTGATGTGATATTGAAGTGATATTGTGAAGCGATCTGTGGTAATGACTAACTTGTGACTAATTATTTTCAGAATTATATTTGTTTACTACATTACAGTTTTGTAAATAATTGTTCAAAAGTGAAACTATTTTAGTTTTATGGATATTAGTGACATCAAAAAAAATTTGAAGTTATCGGTAGTCATGATTATTTCTTGCGTATTTCCTTCCAGACTTCAGTGAGATAAGAGGCAAGATAAAAACCTAATTGTAAGAATTACGTTTTTATGAAGTACTGGTCAAATAAGACATTTTTGTTATGATTATTTTTAACGCGCAGACGAGTTGTTTTTGTCGTTGTTAAATCTGTAGTTCCTAAAAAGTTGTCATTGCAATTTAAAGTTTTCTAACTAAAAATAGCTTGTATTTTGTCCCATCTATGTTTTCCTGATATTGTCAATTTTTGTTTTGTTCTAACACGAGTATTATACGACGACAGTTAATGTTTAGCTTCTGCTCTTTAAAAAAAAGTGAATGAATAAAAAAGAATCAAACAGAAAAGACAAAATATGTTTTGAAATACATACCTTTTTTTTTCAAGTACCATATCCTCCCGGTTGTCAGCGTCTATAATTTTGATTATTAGTGATTATTTTGAGCTCAGTGCAATAAATAGTGATGGTGTATCAGTTTTCACTTGATTGATTTTCAAGCCTTCTAAACTCTCTTCTAGAGATTCCCAATACTCTCACTATCTTGTATAATAACTGAAATGAGTTTCTACATGTCCTTATATGATCCATATGTTGGAGTTTCCATTTTTTATGATTTGAATATACCTAACTACTACTCATGTTTACATAATATATTTACAAAGTATCAAACTATTCAAATTATGTTATAATCAACTTACTGCAGTCTGGCAGCACATCAGAAAATGGGCTAGAATATTCACTAAGATTGTCACTTATTGTTTTTAATGTGAAATGCATTTTATTAAAAAGACTAATGTGCTCAATTTTACCTTATATTTTAAATCTTGTATTTTATTGAGACTTAAGAGATAATATGTATATTTGTTTTTTTTGGGACAACTAAACACCTTAAGACTGATAATCATAACTTTTATATATTTAAATGTTTCTTTATACATAGGAAATGTAATTATTAAATAATTTCAGGAAAATGTTGGTATTTACTTAAAGTATACATTATCCTTTTATAATATGTGCATAAGAATTTGTTAGTTGGCTTAAAAAAATATTACTTAATAATTTTCTTGAAAACTAAAATTGATTTCATGTTGCCTCTAATTTCTTTTTCAATATAAAACATATGTTTATTTATAAATGAGTTATCATTAATCTTAGGTAACTTACTCTTATATTAAGTGTTATTTGGTAAAATTGTTTTTAGATGACTGCCCTGAAATAATTGAGAATTGAATAAATTATGCTGCTATAAATATGTATTGACCATACAAGATGTCGGATACAGTACAGCCATTAAGTGCGCCCATTTCACTTTCTACATATCACCAACTTAGTTTAACTGGTAAGAATAATTAACATAGTCTTACAAAACTGAAGATGATTGCAAATTGGTACATTTGTATTGTTTTAATTTCATGTGAAATCTGCAACATATAGGCATTTGGGCTGTTCCCTTGCTACATACAGTTGAACCTAGATATGCAAGAAACCTTAAAAAAAACGAGATTAATTGTGGGGTTCTCGATGGATGGCTTCCATTAGCAAAGAGCCAAAGAAAAATGTCACTGTCCCTTGGACTCTTGCTTATCCAAATTCAATAATTGATTATTAAAATTTGATTTGAAGATTCAGTACAACATATATTGATCACCATAATGAAACGTTAGCCTTCTTTCTTCATTGTAAAAATCACACTAAAATCCTAATTTGTTATTATTGTTTTTCAATATTTTAATAAAAAATTATGTGATTTGGTTTAAGCAAACTTTTAGCAGGAAACTATCATATAAAATGCATAAAAACATAAAAAGCATTATCAATTAAGACAACCACAAACATGTTTATTTATTGAATGTAAAGTAATCTCAGTGACATATACAATATATGTATATCTATCATTATCACTATCTTAGTTCAAAGTCTATCTCAGCATGATTAAATATTAGATTACATACATTTTAATGTTTTTACAATGTGATGTTTAATGAAGAATTTTAGTTTGGCAATGGCTATATATATAGCTTTCCTTACTACCTGTACTATCTTACTAATATTATAAATTTGTATGTTTAGATGGATGGATGGATGTTTGTTTGAAGGTATCTCTAGAATGGCGAATGGAATTAGCTGAAATTTTGTATACAATTATGTTATTTTTAATTCCGCGGATGGAGTCGCGGAGCACCGCTAGTAATTTTATAAATGTATTTACATTATAATTTTTTGCTTTCAGTTGAATCAGCCACCATAAGAAATTCAGGACTATTTAAACCAAATCCATACTTACAAGTGATAGTAGATGGTAAGGTTTTAAGGAAAACAGAAGTTATTAAAAACACACTACATCCAAAATGGAAGGAAGAATTTACAGTGCTTGTGACACCATTGTCCCAACTCATGTTCCGCTTAGCAGACCATCATAGTTTTAGAAAAGATCATGTTATTGGAGAGAAAAAAATTCATCTTTTGAAAGTCTTACATTATTTTAATGGAAAATGTGAAAATGTGGAACTTTGCATAGGTATGTATCATTGTTGATTGTCATCTTATTGGTTTTCACAATTCTGATGTTTAAATTGCTAAACTTGAAAAAGTAAAAGTCAAGGTTTTATCGAAATTATAAAAAATTTTTACACATTAACTCAATATAATTAGGCATTACTATTGATCGTTTAATAATTTATTTAATTAATATCTAATGATTCCAGATTTGATGAAAACTGTATCCCAAGATGGAACTGCAGGAAATAATGGTGTAAAAGTGAAAACAGCTGATTTAGTTTTGTTACTTGATGGATTAAGACTTGATCCATCTATATTGAGCCAGTCGCATGAAGTGCTTGGAGAGGCCACTAACTCTCGTAGTCCATTAAATGATGGCGTCCGTGCAAGAATTCGATTACGAAATAATTCAGATTCATCACGGTCTATGCTGCGAACACAGAATCTACGAGTAAGTCTGTTTTTATGGTTGTTCTGTTAAAAGTAAACATAATTTTTCTTGATCATTGCATTCATCACCTATCCATATATATGGATCCTTGTAGCAATGTTGATGTGCTAATGTAAAAATGTTCGTACTTTTGGCCTTCCGTTTTACTAGGAATTATATGATAGTGTCTGTTTAGTTCTTAATTATAATTAATGGAGTTTCAATTAAATGTCTACGTTTACAGCCACCTCCAGGTCCACCTCCGCTTAGCAACGGCTCCATTAGTGGAGTGGTGGCTACAGAGAACGGTGCGGGACCGTCCCACGCAGAGCACGGCGCCGCGGAGAGCAGTGGCTCCGGCGCGCTCGCGGCGCACTCCTCGCAGCCGCCACCCACCGTCGTCGCCGGAGCCCCCGCCCCCGCCACGCCCGGGGCTACCGCCGCATCCGCAGCCAACGCTGCCACCGAAGAACCATTGCCGCCGGGTTGGGAGATGAGATACGATGTTTATGGCCGACGGTGAGAGTAGTTTTTGTAACATGAGGTCTTAAGTTAAGTGATCACGGCCTGAGGGCACCTGCTGGGATTGAAACAATAATAACGTACTTGGGAGGAATTCGTAGTCCTCGCCCACTCCTCTGGGTGGGTTAGGGATGTGAATATGTTGTTTTTGTATATAGTTACTATGTGGACCACAACACGCGATCGACGTCCTGGGAGCGGCCGCAGCCGCTGCCGCCGGGCTGGGAGGTGCGTCGCGACGCGCGTGGACGCGTCTACTACGTGGACCACAACACGCGCACCACCACGTGGCAGCGGCCCGATACCGAGCGCCTGGCGCGCTTCCAGCACTGGCGCGTCGAGCGGCGCCACGTGGTCGCGCAGGGCAACCAGCGCTTCCTCTACCCCGCGCCGCACCCGCCGCATCCGCCCCACAACCAGCACCCGCCGCACGCACACCAACAATCTGACGCGGAGGAAGCGCCCGCAGGTAAACTGTTACACTTATTACAACAATATGAATCATACAAATAGACTAAAGCAAAGATTCGTTACAATCACATCTCCGAGCGTTAGTTTCTTCATAAAAAAAATACATGTGATAGATTTACACCATAGTTTGTCGTTGATAATCACAAACAGAAACGAAGATGAATACAATACAATATATTTATTTGCAACAAAATGGTCGTTTAGCTGGCAGCAGCAGTGGGGCGCCCAACGGAGGCGTGACGATAGTGAGCGGGTCGAGCAGCGCGACGAGTGCGGCTAGTGGGGCGAGTGGGGCGAGCGTGGCGGGCGCGGACGACGGGCTGGGCGCGCTGCCCGCCGGCTGGGAGCGGCGCGTGCAGCCCGACGGCCGCGTCTACTATGTCAACCACAAGAACCGCACCACGCAGTGGGAGGACCCCCGCACACAGGTCATACTCTCACACAATTTCTATGACATTCTGTGATCAAACTACTGGCTTTTCGTATGACTTTTAACATTCTACTTTTGTATGCGTAATAACAAAAACGAATGTTTAGAGTATTTTTTCCATTTTCCCTTTAAAAAAATAAATTTGGGTCTGCTTCCAGGGGCAAGAAGTTTCAGCTCTCGAAGAAGCACTCCCGCCAGGCTGGGAGATAAGATTTACAGAGGAGGGCAGTCGATACTTCGTGGACCATAACACGCGCACCACCACATTCCAAGACCCGCGGCCCGGCGCGCCTAAGGGTCCCCAGGGAGCGTACGGCGTCCCCCGGGCCTACGAGAGGTCGTTCCGGTGGAAGCTCAGCCAGTTCCGATACCTGTGCCAGAGCAACGCCCTGCCCAGTCACATTAAAATAACGCTCTCGCGACAGACGCTCTTCGAAGATTCCTATCACCAGGTTAGCTTACATATCTTTTATAGTTTTTACAATTAAGCGTGTCTCATGTCAGTTAAGATTGGTATTGATTGTATTGATTTTTTTTATTTGTGTTGTTAATAGTTCATTTTGTCGAAGCTTAGTTATTGATAATAGTAAATAGCCTACGATCTAGGGACTTACGGCCTTAATATAAATTTAGTTTGTATTTCTTTTCAATGCAACGTTCTTACAGATAATGAGACTGCCCGCCTACGAGTTGCGAAGACGACTGTACATAATATTCCGCGGCGAGGAAGGCCTGGACTACGGCGGCGTGAGCAGGGAGTGGTTCTTCCTGTTGTCGCACGAGGTGCTCAACCCCATGTACTGTCTGTTTGAGTATGCCAACAAGAACAACTACAGCCTGCAGATCAACCCCGCCAGCTACGTCAACCCCGACCACTTGCTCTACTTCAAGTTCATAGGACGATTCATCGCTATGGCCTTGTACCACGGACGATTTATTTATTCCGGTTTTACCATGCCCTTCTACAAACGCATGCTCAACAAGAAACTCACCATGAAAGACATAGAGTCCATAGACCCTGAGTTCTACAACTCTTTAGTTTGGATCAGAGACAATGACATTGATGAATGCGGTCTTGAGATGTGGTTCAGTGTAGACTTCGAAGTTTTGGGCCAAGTTATACATCACGAACTGAAGCCTGCCGGAGATAAGGAGAGAGTCACAGAAGTGAGTGTTTTATTACTGGGTTATTTTATTCATTTTGGTTAATTCATTTCATTTTAATCAACAGTGCTTTTGACAGAAAAAAACATAGTTACAGTAATGTTATCAAAAATGCAAGTTGTAAATGATTTTTTTTTACTAAAGTTAAGTAAAAACTTTGTGGCGTTTTGCATTGAAGGCAAACAAAGAGCAGTACCTGCAGCTGGTGACGCAGTGGCGCATGACGCGAGGCATAGAGGAGCAAACTTCCGCCTTCCTTGACGGATTCAACGAGGTAACCAAAAATAATTCAGATAATACCGATCATAAAATTTATAATTATAATACAATATTTTTAGCTAATGCAATAAATGTAAATTATAAAGCTTCGAAAATAATTGTAACGGTAAAATAGAAATTCACTAAATTTATTATCTCTAACATGAAATAAAATGGATCAACGTACAATTCGATAACTTTGTCCGTTGGTCGAAATTGATTAATTATAATTTAGTGGTTATTGTCCAGGTGGTACCGTTGGAGTGGCTGAAGTACTTTGACGAACGTGAGCTAGAGCTGATGCTGTGCGGCATGCAGGAGGTGGATGTGGACGACTGGCAGCGCAACGCCATCTACCGCCATTACACGCGCACCAGCAAGCAGGTCGTTTGGTTTTGGCAGGTACGTCGCTCTATTTGCTTTACAAACTTCAAGTTTTGGCAAATTGGAAAGGATTCGCATTGTTGGTCATATTAATAATACAACTAAAAACTATTATAAAAATTTAATGATTATTTTATCTGTTGAAAAGATAGAAGTAGCGGAAGAAGGAAAGGTAAGATTTCATGATATAAAATTTTGGCATACCCCTCTGAACTTCAGTTCGTGCGACAAATGGACAACGAGAAGCGAGCGAGGTTGCTGCAATTCGTGACAGGTACCTGCAGAGTACCTGTCGGCGGATTCGCTGAACTGATGGGCTCCAACGGACCACAACGATTTTGTATAGAAAAGGTAACCTAATAAAGAAATAAAAAAACCTCTTCATTTATTCTTATCTAATGCAGAACTAAATTAGTTGACTGATTTTTTATATCTAAGCCGTTTGAATGATATACCTGCTTATAGTATCATAGGTAAAATGAATTGATAAATGGATTTATATAATTATATTTGAAATGCATAATATTTTGTAACGAATGTTTCAGGTGGGCAAAGACACGTGGCTGCCGCGGTCGCACACGTGTTTCAATAGACTGGACCTTCCGCCTTATAAAAGCTACGAACAATTGTGTGAAAAATTAAATTACGCTATAGAAGAAACCGAAGGGTTCGGCCAGGAATAAATATTATTTGTTAATTTTAGTAAAAATGTAAATTATTATCACTTTTATTTTTTATGAGCACCAATCTTCACAAATGGCATATTTCACAATTTTAAGATCGGTGCAATCAAAAAGACCAACCAAATACTTGTATGAATATTTGTTTTAACAATAAATATATTATGTAGATAAAATTAGTGTATTGCGTCAGTTGTATAAGATATATTTTGTTTGAGCTATATTTAAAAAGTTCGTCTATAAAGTTCAATAAAAGCCTAAAAACACAATTTGTAGTAATTATTTTTTACAAATACCATGATCTGAAGTCACTCGACAAATAGTGACTGTTAAGTACATAACCTTTACTTTCAACAATCTTATATACCCTATATGTAGGCCACTTTGTACACCACACCGCATGCCTACCTTCGTTTCACAGTTCTTCCAGACTATGTTCTACATCTATGCCAAATTTCAGCGAGATTCCTTCAGCCGTTCCGGAGACACCTTCAAACAAACATCTAACCATTCAAACATTCAGATTTATAATAAGAGTAAAAATAGTGATAAATCCATAAAAGAAAAAAATTACATGCTTATGGTTATCAAGTTTATTTATACGTTCAGATATCTGATACATTTTAACAAAGAATTAACCGATTCACATAATAAATATAACATAAAACAATCGCTTTCATAAAAGAAATGCTAATTTGCATGATAATAAAAAATAATTTAATGACAGATTCAAGCGAACTTATAATTTCGATGACGCGAATTCCTTGGCAATTTTGATTGCCTCTGTAATACTTTTTGGGTTATTTCCCGATGCTTGTGCAGATTCTGCCTTTCCACCACCTTTACCACCCATAACACTAACAATTGATTGGACCCACTCGGAAGCCAACAAACCTTTCTCATTTAAACTTTTAGGCACAGCTGCCAAGCAATAGATTTTGCTTGTCTCATCATCTATAGAAAAGAACATTGCAGCAGTGTTTGGTAGCATCTGTTTCACCTGTTTCAAGGCACCATCAAGAGCTTTAGTATTACCTGAAGCTTTCAATTCAGTAACAATAACTTTAGAGTCCTTCTCTTCAAGACATAATTCTTTAGTTTTCTCAATAACCTGAGTTATAATCATAGCCTTTGAAGCTCTTTCTTTATCGTCTAATTGTTTCTTAAATCCCTTTAACAGATTTCTTAGTTCTTCCTTTTTCCAATATGATATTTGGGCATGAGATACATCATTTGTTAGTTCAACAATTTTTCTTACAACCTCTTTTTGGTTTACTGCATCACCTTGCTCTTTGATAAAGTTAGCAATACTGTTTACTTCGTTTTCTAGTACACTTAGCTTATTCAATGCTTTAACAGCTTCTGGACCTGTCAGAGCAACAATTCTCCGAATACCTTTCGCAATACCTTCTTCACTGACTATGACATAATCTCCTATATGCCCAGTTTGATGAAGATGCGATCCTCCACAAAACTCAACAGATGTTTCGTAACCCGAAGGACCATCGGGATTTTTCTCCAATTCTTCTACAGGTATCCCAACGGAAACTACGCGAACAGGATCGGGGTAGTGTTCATCAAACATTGCTCTTAAGCCCTTAATTTTTTTAGCATCAGTAAGACTAGTGTGTTTTGCATAAACGGCTTTATTCTGAGCAATAATGTTCTTAATTTCATCTTCCGCATCTTTTATTTGTTTAACGGTCATAGGACCCTTATTAGTAAAGTCAAATCTCAATCGGTCAGGCATTACAAGAGATCCACGTTGATCAGAGTCATTTCCAAGAACTTTTCTTAACACATTATTAAGAATATGTGTACCAGTATGGTTATTCATAATAAGTCTACGTCTTTCAGTATCAATGTGCAACGAAACTTTGTCACCAACTTTTAATGTGCCTTCCACTTTTCCAGAATGTAAAACGTATCCACCTTTGACTTGAACATTTTTCACAGTAAATTCAACACTCTCATCATCCATTTTAACCATATAACCCTCATCAAATATTTGACCTCCCTGTTCAGCGTAAAAATTAGTTCTATCTAAAATTAGACCACATTCTTGGCCTGATTGTACTTCACTTACAAATTCTTTATTGCATCTTAGAGCTAAAACAGTTGCAGTACATGGTGCAAAGCTATAAATGGCATCTTTGTCATTTGAAGATGGAGTGTAGCCATATTTTGGTGAATCATCAGTCACAGGCACACCACTTTCTTGTAAATGACTTATGGCATGAATATCCAAAGCCAGCAAGTCTTCTTGACCTGCAGCTTTACCTTGAGAATTTAATTGGGATTCTTTTTTAGCTTTTTCATAAGCTTCCATGTCAATTGATAATCCTTTCTCTTCACACATTAAATGTGTTAAATCAACAGGAAAACCATATGTATCATATAAACGCCATGCAACATCGCCTGGTATGATTTTTGATCCACTAAGTTTTTCAATAGTTCTGTTGAGTAAATTTCTTCCTCTGGAAAGTGTCTTTAAAAATTGAATTTCTTCTTCATTTATTGTTTGTATAATTGAATCTGGATCTTTTTTAATTTCTGGAAATACATCACCAAGTAACTCTACTACAGTATGAACTAGTGAGCCGAAAAATCCTGGTTTCCCGTTTAGTTTTTCAGATGCATAGCGAACCGCCCGACGTAAAATTCTTCTTAGCACATATCCTCTTCCTGTATTATCAGGACATCCACCATCTGCCAAAGCAATAGTTAATGTCCTTGCATGGTCAGCCAGCACTCGATATGCCATGTCAATACCATCAACATCATCAGCACCTACTTTGCCTGTGTATGGTCTTGTCTTTGTACCGGTTTCAATGGCTTTGAATAAAGGCATGAAAAAATCAGTATCATAGTTAGCTCTCTTGTTTTGGATAACAGAAACAAGCCTCTCTAGACCTAATCCACAATCAATATGTTTCTTAGGCAATAATTTCAAAGAGCTATCTGCTTCTCTGTTAAATTGTATGAAAACCAAGTTCCAAATTTCCAACACATCTGGATCATCCATGTTGACAAGGTGTGCAGCATTTCTGTCTCCTATTCTGTCATAATGTAATTCAGAGCATGGCCCACAGGGACCAGTTTCTCCCATTTCCCAAAAGTTATCCTTCATACTTCCTGGTAGTATATGTGATTCTGGTAGTCCAAGATTTAACCAAATGTTTTTACATTCTAAGTCTGGTTCTAGACCAGAAGCAGCATCTCCTCCAAAATATGTAACATATAATCGATCAGCTGGTAATTTATAGACTTCAGTTAATAATTCCCAAGCCCAAGCACAAATTTCTTTTTTAAAATAATCTCCAAATGACCAGTTCCCCATCATTTCGAAAAATGTATGATGATAAACATCTTTGCCAACATCATCTAAATCATTGTGTTTTCCTCCTGCTCGAATACATTTCTGAGTATTCACAACCCGAACATATTGTGCCATGTCAGAATTGGGATCAACTGATCCAAGAAAAATTGGCTTAAATTGATTCATGCCTGCATTGGCAAAAAGTAAAGTTGGATCATCCAATGGTATAGTGGATGAAGAATGCACATATTTATGACCTTTTCCAATGAAGAAATCAATGAAAGTTTTCCGGATCTGATTTCCTGTCATTGAAGTATCCATTGTGGCAATTTATCTGAAAAATAAAATAGTGCTTCTAAATCAGAATGTTACAATTAATTTGATATTAATACTCTTTTATAATTAAGGCATAGGACTAGCAGGAAGATTGCATGATAATAATAAGTGCTCATATTGATACTCCTTTCACTTGAAATAGAATAACAAACTATTTGAGTAAATCTATATTTAAAAAAGGTTGATGCATCAATCGGTAAAATTGTTTATGACAATGGTGTATAAAAAAACATTAAACCACATAAATCATGATTTTTTTTAACATTAAAATAATAGTTAAAGAAATTACCAGTAAATCATTAACACTAGATATTAAAAAACTAAGATCAGCACAAATTTAAATGTTCAGAGCAGACATATATGTGTAAAATTTTGTTTTAACAGGTGTAATCAATTTGCCAAGCATTGTAAATTTAAATAAAATACTTTTTTATGACATACCCCTTGTTGTATAAAGTTTTAAAGATCTGGGTAATGGCACTCTTTTAGGTGAATGTAATAATTGTTGCACCATTTCTGACAAGTATACTTTCACTTTTTAGTTTGATATACATTTACAATGAGGTGTGTCAGGTACAATTAATAAAATTGTTTATGTAATATAATGACATATTTAAATTTTTAATTAAAGTATAAATTGAACTTATAAATTAAAAGAAATAAAATAAATTCATTTTACTTATTTTAAAGCCTAATTTATTTTTTTGGTTACAGGATATCATTTAGTATTATGCAAATAAAACTTTTTGTATAAGAATATATTAAAATATTTACATCAGACTATGTAAAATCTTGTCATAATATATCCTTAATTAAAAAAGTTGAAAAAATATTTTTCTTAGGCTTTAAAAAAATTATAAGATTTAAGGCGAATGTATATATTATATTCACACACACTTTTCTATCACATTCATAAGTAACCATATGGGAAGTATAAAAATAAGGTTAAATTAAAAATACCTAAAGTCACAGTGAATAAATATCATGATTTATGTAAATGCAACAAGAAATATATTATATTTATGATATAGATTGATTTTAATTACCTGATGCAACTTCGAACTTATCACTGCACTGCGAAAAAATAAAATGACGACAACACGACTACCGACTACTGTCAACCGTTGACCAAGCCAAGGTAAAAGTAGTAAAGCAAGTGCAAGACTGTAATGAATTGTATTTGGATATGATAAGGGCGACAATTGCATGAACATGAAATACGAATTCCGACATCGACTGGACATGACATGGACAAATCTACATTTGATTTTGACATCCCATACGTGACATTGACAGTTGTTTTTAATGTGACCAGCAGTGGATCTGTGACCAGGTCTAAATTAAACATTCAGGTACAAAAAGATTTCAGAATACACGAGAAATAAACTAATTACTAATTAGTCCTTTAAGAGACAAATTAATTTATTTTGTGCTCGTAGTCATAAATTTGTTCTAAAGGAACAAAACTATGATTCACAGCTCCACTACAGAGGTTGTATTTAAACATATTCAAAAACAATAAAACGAACTATCTGCGATATCAGCGCCTCCCTTACCGGCGACCTAGATAAGGTTGTTGTAATAATAATAACTTTTTTATTTAGACACATGGTTCATACAAAGCAAAAGCAACAATTACAAATTCTAGCTAAGTTAAAAAAAGAGAAAAACAATAAAATAAAACACAACTGTTGTACACTGTACTTCATATTTTATATACTCTTTGCTGTACTTGCACAATACCTATGTTATTTACTCTGCTAATGGATTGCTGCGACACATGTCTTTTGATTTTATTTACTCTGGTTATCAATGATAATTTGTCAAGTGTTAAAATGCAAAATAAAAATCAAAAAATCACCAAAATCACTTTTATTGTGCTTTAATTTTGGTATATTATGTACTTATAATAAGTGAACTCATTTTATTAATTTGTGCGTTAAAGTAAAAATATTAGATTGTTATGTGCTAAAATTACTTAATACAATGAATTTGAATCTGCTTCATAAATCATTCTTTATTGTTAAACGAATTTGTAATGTTAGGCACCTTTATTTAACAAAAAGCTATTTTAATTTCGCTGTTGTTAATTTAAACGAAAAAAAAGAAAACGATGCCTTAGAATACACATCAGAGGACTTGTCGACTATAACTCCATATTTTCCCGAATCATTTAATTTAGCAGCTTATGTTAACAGTTCAGAGACATTGCAAAATTTAGTTTATTTAAACGTCAATCTTAGCAAAATAGAGAAGAAGCCTTCCATTGCTGAAAAAATCCTTAAGTTGGATTTCGAAAAAGATATTAAGAGGGGCCTTATATTTATTAAAGATTTTGTAAATGCAGATGATATTGGTAATTTTTTAACAAAAAACCCTTTAATACTTTGTGAAGATGTAGAACACCTTGAAGTGAGAGTGAATTATTTAAAATCAAAGCAATTTAAGCAACATGAAATAAGTAGAATAATTACCAACAATCCTTTTTGGCTGATGTTTAGGTAATACTGTTTTACATATTTTAAAGCTGCTTATGAATAAATAGTTTAGTATTGTTCATGTCCTTTTCGTCCATATGCACTATATAACCTATCAACTTTTCCAGCACAATAAGGATTGACAGACGCTTAGGATTTTATCAAGAAAAATTTGAGTTAAGTGGAAATGAAGTGAGACTTTTAGCAACAAAACAACCCAGACTAATAACTTATAATCTTCATCATATACAAACAAATTCTTTTGTGATTAAAGAAGAAATGGGTTTTGAGGATGATGAGATTAAACAGTTAATATTAGACAAACCAAGGCTGTGGATGATGAGTAAGTTGTTTATATTTCTTTAAAAAACAAATGTTCTAATAAACAATATTTAGTGCAACATGTAGGATAACTTTTACTAATTCTGTAATTTAAAAAAAAACCAACCACTTTACACATCTGGTTGTATGTTATAAACCATGCACAAATTTTGTGTTCATAAGAAAAAAAGATTACCTGAAATGTCATATGTCTACATTTACATTTTCTTTGATTACTTTGAACATTCAAATTTGAGCATAGTTTATCAGCAAATTGTAATATTTTATCTGGATCTTAACATCTTGCCAACAATAAATTTGAATAATTTATTATAATTTTCCTTTTTCAGATCAAAAAACTTTATTGGAGAGATTCAACTATATTCATAATGTGATAAAAATACCACATAAAACAATCTTACAGTTTCCACATATATTATTGTGTAGAAATTTCAAAGTAAAACAAAGACATACATTTTTAGAGAAATTGGGTAGAGCTCAATACAATCCGACTATTGAAAATTTTGTTCCAATAAATGCTTTAGTTGAACTTACAGATATAGAATTTTGTAAGAAGTATGCGAAGTGTCATGTTGATGATTTTAACATGTTTTTAAAGACTATGTGAACTTATGCTATCCAGCTTTACCCAATACTATTTTATTATGGAAAGCATTTAGGGAATGGTACAAAAGTGTGTCTAAAATACCAGCAACAGTAAATACTCCTCCAATTATTGCACAGATATTAGTTGCAAAGTGTCCGATGGACCTGTGGAAACATATATGATTAGTTTTTTTACTAGCATAAATAAAAAATTATAATCTTTATAGAGTATGGTTTTCTTATTCTCGTGTCGCCGTTTATAAGAACAGATATTTTGCATATACAAGAGAAGTACATACATGCTTCAAACATGATTCATGCAGGCCATTTTGTCAAATCTGTTTTGGGCACTCTGATTTTCTAAGTTGTATGTCCATAATTTTTTGGACCTCTCACCTTTTGCCATTGTTTTATTTATATTCGGATTTTTTTGAAATTTCTTAACACTTTACAAATTACTTTAAGCATGGTAACACAATAAAAAGGAATCTTTATTGTACCATGCTTGAAGTAGTTTGTTTATATAAAATTTCATGAACAGGTTATTTATAACTTATTATACCTTTCTTTTTCCGTGTACTTCACCATAAGAGGCGATAACTCATAGCTAAAAAAGGCTCCTGGCATTCCAGATTCTGAATTAATGTTAGATACTGACTTTTGATGTCTAGTTACTGAAAACTGGTTAGTATGTAGCACAGTCTTGTCTAGCTTTACATACATTGTAGGAACTATTTTAATATAGTACTGGAACATTACAGCACCTGAAAAATGTATGATATGCAAAAATAGATATTGCCATTCACTTTAAGATTAAGAATTTAAATGTGAATTTCTTTAGAAAATTCGATTCTGATATATTTATCTTATGTAAATTAAAAATAGTTATATCTTCTTCGCAGACTTCATTACTAAAGGTCGTGCTTTTATGAAGGAAGTTATATCTACCAGTCAGATAAATAGCAAACACGGCTTCAATTTGAAGTTGAGTCTACTGTAAGGTAGTATATTAGAAATGATGACTTAGTTTAACTGTTGCAGCTGCTTTTCCTCCTATCTTCTTATACTGCTTATCCATAATAATACCTAACAAATATTGCATTATTCAATTTATCACAGTGTAGTAATCAAGTAAAATGTTTTCACTTTGGAGGCATTGTATTTATGAAAATAAAGAACCAAATCGATTTTGTTAGTCGATTACTACTAATCGATTTTTCTATTTGATCGCATTTTTAATCTGTGTTGAATGAATGTGACATATAGGAATTTAGAGCTGTCACATAAAAAATAAATACCGAACGATTTTTCTTTTTCATAAAGACGAAAGGGAATTAATATTTAACAATGCCTGTACCTGGTGGAGTCTACCAAAGTCAAGGCCCTTCGTGTTTCGATAAAATGAAAATGGGTTTCATGATTGGGTTTTGTGTAGGCATGGCTAGTGGCGGTTTATTTGGAGGTTTTACAGCTTTGAGGTTAATGTATATTATAAATTACATAAGTCCAGATTCCATCATACTATTAATCTCATAGAAACGATTAACTTTTTAAAATTACAGATACGGAGCGAGAGGAAGGGAATTGGTACATTCTGTCGGAAAAGTAATGCTCCAAGGTGGAGGAACATTTGGTACTTTTATGGCAATTGGAACTGGAATTCGCTGTTAATGAGGATGTTTAAGATTAAAAGAATTTGTATATATCGTAATAAAATGTGTAGTAGCATAAAATTGATTTTCTTAAAAGGCATTTGGTGGAATTGTTTAGAACATTTCAGACATAATTAAAATCGGGGTTCATATGATGACAGTATAGTAGTTTTTACATTAAAATTTGATTAATACCTCAGCAAGAGTTTAATGTTTGTCTTGAGTCCAAACAGAAATGAAATGTGTTGGCATAAACTTCTTCCGCTTTTCTACTTAAGACTTCAAAATAATAATTTACTCAAAAGTGCATTTATATAAATAACAAATGTTTGTAAAAATTTATTTGTTAGAATGGTCTAAATAATATCAAGTATAAAGTGATGTTATTAAATTTATGTTAATAAATAAGAAATGCATATAAAAATAGTTATAATGGTTCAATGATTAAGGAAAATTATCTATAGGCTTCAGATGAAAATTTGCCACAAATTTTGCAAAAAAAAATGCAATAAGTGTGAATTTCCTGCAAAAGTGATAATATCCTTACTTTGTTAGATTGACATGTATTTTAGTTTATTTTCACAAATTTGTAGTCCTATTAATAATAAACATTAAGTATTAATTTACTTTTCCTGGTGTTTATTTATTATATTACGTTATATTACAGAATACTTGCATACTTTTCTTATAGAAATGTAATTGAATTTTATAAAGATGAACTGATTGCTGCTCAAATACACTGTTAAAACTTTAACATACCTTCTTTGGCTATTCCCTTAACTCCATCTAAAGGTGCAGTATTAGCACTTTTTATATCACTTCCAAAAGAAAGATGTTGTATTATATGTGTTGTATTAAATGCAGATGAAGAATATGGTTGCACATCATGTACATGGACATGATTAATTGTAAAACTTTTTCCTGGAGCTATGTGAAAACTTCCACCAACCTACAAATGGGATCCATTATGAATGTTTATCATAAAAGGTTATCAGATATTTGATCCATAATTGACAATCATAATTTTAATAGGGGAGAAATGTTATACTAAAAGACTTGAGGTCTGAATCTTGAGCTCATCCCCTTCCCAGTGAGCAGATCCATTTGTTGCAACCATTGTTCTATTTCAAAAGTATAATTTATCAGGGGCATCTTGCTTATATACCACTTTACTACAAAAAAAACTGGATATTTAAGATTTTTTATTCTGTCTACATATCTGTATATCCCTAAAAAATTACTAAAATGCCTAGAATGTCACATGCACTTCATAAATATTAATTGTTAAGAATGGTTGTCATAAACTTACTCGATTAACTTCCATATAACCATATATTTGACAACCTTCTTTAAGGGCTAAATTGGCCTTTTCTAAAGACTCATCATCTTTGCATTGTACAATAGTTGCCAAATCTGGTAATGCCCATCTTCTGATTCTGTATGCTTCTTTTACATCTTCACATGTATTGCAACACCTAAATGAGAAAGATTAGCTGGGAGATGTATTTTTACTATGGCATTACAAAATTGCTCACCATAATCATGATTATCCTCTACAAACACTATCAATTGCAGGTTCACATGAGCAAACCTATGTGATAAAAACATAATTTAAAAAAATCTGCCATCCCACTCACATGGGGTTGACAAACAAAGTTTTATAAACTATGGTTTTATAATTTTTATGGCCGGTGAGAAATTAATTGTTTTGCCATTAATTAACAAAAGGATCTTGACAGACAGACGGCGGGACAACAAAGTGATCCTATAAGGTTCCGTTTATAACCTTTCGAGGTATGGAATCCTAAAAAAATGTAAAAGAAAAATGAATAACTACAGCAAAATATTTAAAAATACTTCTAAACCCAAGTCATAATAAATAGGACTTATAAACATGGGTACATACTTAGGTAGAACAGAACTTCAAGTTTTGGTTGTTTAGTAAAGATCAACATATACACTCAATTCAGTAAAACTGTCACTCTTTATCACCTGCAACTTTTACCACCCATAACACAATATTTTATGTACTTTGTCAGTCCTTTGGGTACCTTCCCATTATACCATATTTTTATCAAACCATAAATATTTATGTGAGGTTAGAGATTGCACTTACTGAGAATCATTAAAGGCAGCCCCATAGCAACTTCCACATGTTACTGTTGCTAGTTCAGATGTGTTTTGTTTGACCTGTAGAACAATTATAAAAAATATTAATGTAATTGTAGTTTGAAATAGATAAACTATAATGTTTCCAGTACATACTGTGGAAGAAATTGCAATTTCTTCTTTTTTAGGTTCTTCTATTGGATTTCCATCCAAGTCTAATCTTCTTTTGTGAATATTATGATCCATTTGAAGATGCTGTTCACCAGAAGAATCCATTGCATCCAATACTAAATCTGGAGGAAAAATGTAAGTATGCCAACATGTATAATAAGATAAGTATGTTTTCCCTCTATTTCTTCTTAAATATTATATTGAGTATGTCTACTTATATATAGATTGTTCTTTTATTTTAAAAATTTATGTAAAAATATAGAAATAGCAAGGTTTCAGATTTACTATAGAAAATAAATCTTGTTTTACTTACAACTACATGATATACTCGGTACAATAATATCAAAATTTATTCTTAATTTATGTCCCCTGGATGTATCTACAAATAATTCTTCTGATATATTTGGAGACATATATGTATATAATTCAGACAAAAATAATAAAACCATAATAATCACACCAGCAACAGTAACTGAAACAATTTAACTTTAATTATTATACAAAAAATAAAAAATAGAAATTGATATAAAAATTGAGTTACTTGTTGCTCCTGTAGCTGTTTTTACTTTGAAGTCTTCTAAAGTTTTTGCATAGGCATCGAATTGTTTAAATTTATTCATTAAATGAGACGACATTATAAGGATGTAAGTGATATCTATTATCTATTTCTAGTATAATAAATAAATTCAAATTTTCAAAACACTTCATTTGAAAGACAATGTGACAGTTGACATTTATGAAAACACGTCATATTCTATTCCATCGTTCATTTTCGTCTCGAAACTAAAACTCAGAATTTTTATATATACCTGAACTTGTTTACATTTACATGGAATATATTTATACTAATAGTATAAAGACAAACGACAATTAATAGTGTTTAATTAAAAAAAATCTAAAGTTTTAACCTTATATTTATATTTTATGAAGTGTTATGAAGTTACATGATCAATACTAAATCAGACCCAGACATGCAGACAGACTAAAGAAACCTGTAACATTAAGTTTATTTCTAAACTAGCTATCACTGGTGACTACGTCCGCACTGTATCCAAAAAATTTAGTATCTATGTGTTCTAGACTATGTGGTATAGATACTAGCTATGCCAAATTTCACCAAGATCCGTTCAAGTGTTCTGGACATACCTTCTAGCAAACATTCATACCTTCAAACTTTCGTATATATGTATAATATTAGTAAGATTATTTACGTTCGATGAGAGATTTTCATAATAACCAATTAGGAAATTATAGGTCTATGTAGTTTAAATGAATTTAACAGTGGTAGAGCCCGCTTTAACATCTTCGCACGAATTGGCCCGGCTTGCCCGGTGAAATACCACGACCACACAGAAGATAGGCGTGAAGTGGAAGCAATTCCGCGTTTCGTCTGATGAGTGTGCGTCCCGGAGGCCTAATTTAGTCCTCTTTACCTTCCCACCCTTTTTCCTATGAGGTAGGGTTGGGAAGTGGAAGTTGACTTTCCGGATTAGTGAATGCATGGAAAGAGAAAATATTTTCTTTCTCTGCATCCTCTCCTCCATCGAATAAAGGTGGGCAACGCATATGCAATTGCGTATGTCTATGGGCAACGGTCACTTCGCTATTTCAGCGATTTCAGGTGGCTGATCGCTCGTTTGCCATCTTATGATATAAAAAAATGAAACCTACCAGTTTAAGAACCCAAAGTAAAATTAGATTTTATTGAACATGCATAAGTGGGAAAAATTAAATAAATGATTCTTTCATCATCATGTCGTATTTAATGAAGAGATGTACCCTAAGTTTCTTTTTCTTTACTTGCGACTTGTAAGCTACTACGATAAAGGATGACGAGCGCGTTAACTATTTTGGTGATGAAATCTAGCTGATTTTTTTTTCTTTACATTAGTTCAGGCGACTAGTTTGGTGTCTTACGTACGTCACCATAGGAAGCCAAGGATTTGCTGTTGGCAACGCTGCTAAGGCGTCCCAGCGAGATATGGCTCAGAATAATTCATTAATGGTCATCTTGAGAGACGGCCAAGGGCGTTTTAATTGTAATTGTTTTCATATCATAAAAGTTTCGGGATAGGGTTTATAATTATATTGAGGTTTAATACATGACAAACAATTTTATCCTATTGTTAGTTTACCTATTACGTTTAAAGTGGTTCCAAAAATATTACTACTGGAATAAAGGACTATTGGAAAACATCGATATAATATTTCTTTATACTACTCCACAATGTTGTATTGAGTCTCAATCCGAAAGAAAAATAGTATCCTTTTTACTCAAAAAGAAATTATCTCCTTTTGAATTATATTACTACGGGGAAATGAAACCAATTGCTTCCAATTTAACTTTTATTGTCCATACGTTTGTAACAACCTAAATTAAGTGACACATAAAGTTTACCCATATTTGTAGAGGAGGTAAGGCGTTTCATTCGTCATATATTCACGACATCAACCTCAAACATCAACTAAAAGGCAACAGTAAGTAGTAAATAACTTGAAGCACTAAATAATTATAACAATCGTGTACCTGAAGTTGATATCGGCCGCCCTATTTATGTTCACGATAAATTGTATTTATTAACATTAATATTGAGTATTATTTACATGTGTACAGTCTTTTTATTTAACTTAAAGAGATCACTTCTTTGCGCTGAATCCCTCCCCTGTAGGGTCCAAAATCCATGGGTAGTTGTTTGGACATTCCATGCAGGTGAACAGGCGCAGTGTCTCTCCTGGTAACTCTCGAGTAGTCAAAGGACACGCGTTCGGCAAAGAGCAGAAAGGTTGTCCCTTAACATCACATTTGTCTTGTTTCCATTCCTGGAAGTCACGGAGTGAAGACAGTTCTGTCGGATTTTGCATCCATTGAATCACTTGAATTAAAGAAGTGAAGTAGACATCGTTCTTTTCCAACATTTCTTCAATGAATTTAATAAGCTCGTCTCTGAATTCTTTCTTGGATTTAAGCCATGAAGCGTGGAAGTGAAGACCGAGAGGTGCGCGGTTGGTTGTGTAATGACGGTTGAAGTTTTGACGGAGGAGGCGAGCAAACTGTTCACCGGTTTGGATGTTAGAACAGGAGTCTACCACGTGACAACCGGGCAGAGATTCATCAAATGTGGGATCATCTCTTCTGTCCAACTCATTCATTACCATTTCCCAGACTGGATGGCTTCTCGATGGACAATTGTGAGCGTTTCCGTTGCATTTGTGCGGCATTCGGAAGTACAAAGTGTAAGGCCAAATTGGTACACGACCCAAAGGAGCGGTAATTGAAGCATCATAGACGAAGTATTGGTCGGCCATCATTTCAAATTGCTTGTTTCCACCGACGCGTAAATATGGTGCACGAACACCAATAATTGAGGCATCCGTTATGTTAGCAAAACGTTCAGCGATTAAACGAGCGCCAGCCATTTCGGCGAGCCAATCATCATAGCTGCCACCCGACCAGTACAGAGGATCGTCTTTGTGAGTTATCGAGAAAACGGCAATTTCGTGACCCTTGCGATGCAATTCTTGAACTGCAGCGTAGTTGGTATATTTGTGGGAGATAAAGAAGGTGCCGCGAACTTGGCAACCGTTAGGGTTGTGGCGGTTTCCGTTGAAAATTTGTTCATAAAGATCGATGTTATCAACGTTGACGGCACCGTTGAAGGTGATCGTTATCATTTGTGGTACTTGATTGGGTTCGATGCCACCTGGAATGCGGGTACCGTCAGCAGAGCAGAAACAGTCCGGGAGTGTACACTGGTTAGTGTCGCAGTCAGGCGCTCTGTTCGGGTCCACATCGACAGCTGTAAAATGTTTATTAAATTTTAAATATGAACTATTATTTTTATTTGAAATATTATACGCAATTGAAGTAACGGATAAAAACAACTCACTGCAAGCATTTTCATCAGACTCATCTTTACAGTCGGGTTTTCCGTTACAGAACAACGCTTTTTCGATACAATCGCCACTTCCACAAGCCAGATTTCCTTCAGGACAAATAGGCTCATCCGTCTTCAGTATTGGGAGAACTTTTCTCGGCTCTGCGAAACATAAGGTACAATAAATAAATTTGTAAAAACAGACAGAAAGTCCTATCTAGATTAAAATTGTACATAAAGAAAACGCAGGTCTTAAACGGTTTTGGCTTCGTCTGTGTAATTTTGCTTCTATGTTTAAAGGGACGTGTGACGACGTGTTTAAAGGGATTCATTTTAGGAAAAAGAATGAAAAGAGACAGCGAAGCGTGACAAGATGACCGAGTTAAATTCACAGAAAAATTAATAGAAAGAGTATGTAGAAGAAGTACTTAGCTGATACATATTTTAAAAGTATAGCCAAGTTCCATGAGTTTGATTAGTTACAGGAGAGATTAAAACAATCTAAGATAAATCTTGTATTACTTTATGGAAAGAAATGAAAATGACCAGTGCTCAGATAGATACTCATAATAGTATGTGATGGGTAGCTAAAAAGTTAAAAAACTTGATAGAATAAAGATTTAGAATCTATGAATATACGATAGTGACTAGGATACTTATTATGAATAAATTACACTTCACAACGATAACTTATTCATAATAAAGTTTTACTTAATGTATAAATATTACGTGAAAAGGTTGCATACGCATTTTATTCATCATTTTCGATTTTGTTAATTACATGTCTGCAACCTTTGCCACGGAAACATAATACGAATTAAATACTTAATGGATCTAAGTAAAGAAGTTCTAAGAAATGAAATTAATGTCTCTAAGCTTTAAGTCTTGCCACGTTATTATTGTTAGTTAAAAAGCTGTGTATTTACATATGATTTAAGATTAATTTTTCTATTAAGTATATATACAAATCTAAATGTTATTTATACCTCAGTGAAATATAGAAAGTTAGTAGTGACAAACCAATTGCCGAATATGTGCTAAGTGAAGTTAAGTGAAGCATTGGCGTACGTCAGCGTTTAGAAAGTGTTATAGAATTATTAAATTTTAGGTTAATGAAAAAGAATTCTTTTCAGTGTTTGTATCTGCATAGTGTAAAGACTGTTTGTTGTTGTTATGAAGTTTTATTTATAGCGCGAGTGTTTAGTTCCACTTGTTCTCTCAAGTGGAACAAATAACATCAACATATCTTCATTTCAAATTTACAACTTTGCTTTATCAGTAATAATAGTGACAACTTGAGTTATACTGTGATAAGTTTTAACATTTGTATGTTTATATCTATTATTGTCGTATACTATAACGTAATAGTTTGACATTTTATTTGTAATTTCGTGCCATGTTATATAGTTTCACGGTAATTACATCAGTAAGAAATAACTCAAGCGTATGAAGAAATGTTAATGCGTAACTAGTGGGTCGGTGGTATCGCGGGCCGATCCCTTCTGCCCGCGCCGCCGACGCCGACACGGGGCCTCATGCAATACACCAAATCTACAGTGCGACGCGGCCCCTTCACCCAAGCCCGGTTGCTCGCTACTCGCGAATAGCTTCTTTATCGGAACTTACTCTCGACTTTGTCACAGTTGTTCACTTTACCCTTCCAATCGCAGGTTTGTTTATCGAGATCGAATGCCAGGCCGGACGGGCAAGTGATCTGTTTAAGACCTGACCTAGTGCACCTGCGTTAATAAGAAATGACACATTAAATTTACTATAAAATAAAAGGAAGCGGACGTACTCGAGGCTAACTCATGGTTTCCGGAACTATGCGCGTTTCATTACTGCGAAGAC